TGGTTTGTTTTCAGTATTATAAACCTCAACTGAAAGTACACTGTACATGCTTACGTAGTTAACAACATCACTGACCTGATTGACATTCCCAGCTACAATATGTATCCTTCAAACTTGAGTTCCAAAGATTCAGCAGAAAACTTTAAACAACTTCTACCTGACTGAGTCAAATCTTCAAAGCTGACCCAAAGCTGCTCCAGCCGGGCATAAAGAGCAGCCAGTTATCAAACACACTCACACAGCCAGCAAAGACAGTGAGTGCATCATCAAGTCTTTCCTTAAGTGCCTTTGACCTTCATTTTTAGTGCTTCGCCTGAGTTTCATCACTGACTTACACCCTATTAATCTCCTACTTTTATATCTCCGGCTCGCACACTTGCACATAGACAAATACCTGCACCATCACACACACACACACACACACACACGCACACACACACACACACACACATTGTAAACACCCCACAGAAATGCTTCAGAGAGCGACTCAGATCAGAGAAAGACACCCCGCTTGTTACGACAGCCTGGCTGCTGTCTGATAAGCTTTCGCCCTGGAACAGTCGTCTCGCTGTGAAGGCCGTGAGTAATACAGGCTTTATCTGCATCACCCCTACTCCTGGGCCAACCTGCTCTACAGCAACCTGATTTCTGTTACGGGCCTAAAAAGGGCATTCAAACTCAGACATTTTCAGATTTTTGCCAACATAAACAACATTTGGGATCATTTTCCTGTGTAGCTGCTAGTACATTATATACACAGATATAATGGACTGTCATTTAAAAGATAGATAAAAGGGGGAAGACTCTTTAAACCTGTAACTTTACTTTAGATCAATCTGTGGAAGAGAGTAAAATGTGTTTACACTGTGAAATCCATCTTACACTGCATGCACAAATCATCTGGCACTCACTCTTTTCACGGTGAGTACTAATGAGGTAAAATTAGGGAAAACCATCAATGCACATTGATTACCCTTGGTAAATCAATGGAGGAGAGATAGAGTAAGGATTGTAACTATGTTACTCAAAACAAGAAGAAGGTGCCCCTGGTATTTTGTGTTTTCACTGAGCTGCATGTTGCTTATATAGAAAAAAAACCAAACATCTATGATCAATATTTTTTATAATAATAATGGATCACATGGCTACTTGAATGTGAAAGGGGTCATTTGTAGTGACAAACCTACACAGAGTTATCAGCCGACTCTGCAGCTCCCCTCAGCTGTACAGAGCTTTATAGCTTCATTCAGCGCTTTTTGTTTTTGAGCCTGCAACTTTACTCTTCTGACTCACACAACATTGTGATCAGTGTCATTTCAATACTTCACTGGAAGCAACAACAACCTTCTCCATGGAAGCTGAGAGGGGGTTTGTTTGTGCTGTGCAAAAACACAGACATGGAGACACAAACATGACGCCCTGGCCTAATCTGTGCAGTGACACCTTGATGGGTGATGTATGAATTACTGTTTATGTTCAACAACACAACAAACACAACAAATGTGTGCAAACGGTCAGTATTGGGGCTTATAAATTGAAGTATTGTGGAAGTGTTTAAACCAATCTGCTGGCTGTTCCAGGAGTGTGTGTGTGTGTGCGTGTGTGTGTGTGTGTGTGTGTGTGTGTGTGTGTGTGTGTGTGTGTGTGTGTGTGTGTGTGTGTGTGTGTGTTGCCCTCAGCAAAGAATACAGGACTCATTAGAATTGCTGTCATGTCGCAGCACTGCCTGCAGCATTTCATCCGAAGCACAGTGGAGCGGGCAGTCAGATTTCAGTATCTAGAAGTACCACTCGAGATTAAAAAGTCAAAAATACCTTTTTCTGTTTCCCGTTTGACGTGTTGCGATGATTGAAAATGTTCTTCAGAGGGGAAGAGCAGTGTGGAACCAGATAAAGTTGTCACAACCTGTTTGTAAGTACTGAAGAGACTTCCTTTAAATAGTAATGCTACATCCAAGTCAAGTTCTGTTTGCAGCTGCGACATGTTTTGAGTCGTCTTGACAGAAAATATCATCTTCAGCAAAATACTCTATGTTGATGGTTGAGTTTTAAGAAAAGGTTGACAAGTCCTTAGATACAGTATACTGGGTAAGTCTTTTGTTGTGCTGGTGTTGTCTCTGTGTCTGTTATTTTTACTTTATTTATATAGAACATTTTAGGTGCAAACCTTGGTGCTTTCCACGGCAGACATGGGGAACAAAAAGAGCGAGATGAGCAAATAAAAAGTGCAATATTTGAAGGTAATGTTCAAATATGAGTCTAAAAGAGAATATGAAAGTGACAGATATGGAAGGAATATGATTATAAATTGCATAAAAAAGAGCAGAATTATAACAAAGCAGTAATGCAAGTCTAATAAATAAAGACGGTAAGAGAAGACACTAAAACACTGTCATGATGACTTTTGTGCAACTCTTTAAAAAAAAAAAAAAAAAAAAAGGAAATATGATGCTGCATTACTTGACTTTTATCAGATAAAGTTGTGTTGGTGAATGTGTTACCATTCAGCACCTCCAGCAAACATGAAGCAACATTTGCATTCATTTTATTCAGTTGTATTTCTGGCCACCTGATAAATGAAAACTAAATATTCCCTCTCCTTTTTAGCTGTTTTGGTCTCAAGCAACTCCTGAGGAAAATATCAACTAAATGTTTCATTAGGTTCACTAGCTGGTCGCTGACTTCGTCTGTCTGCCGTTTGGCGCCGGACAGGCACCTTCGACAGGGTATGTTACAACTTTTTTACCTGAAAACAGCAGACCACCAAAAGACCATCCATCCAACTACAGGGCTCTGTAAAGCTGAAGGGTACTACAGAGTTGGGGGAAAAATCTGTGTTCATCACTACTAATGACCATCTTCAATCAAGCTCAATAATTTTCTCCCCATTGGTTACATAAATATCAGTTCATGCTGCTTCAAAAACAGAGACTCACCCCATCTGGAGGACTGGTGCGATATCACTTATGAAATATTTGTAATGGAAAGAATTACTTCCTCCATGAGGCTTCAGCAAACCAAATTTGAGAACATCTGGAAGGAATGGAAAATGTATATTTCCCTGAAACGCCCTTTTTTGTTTAAGCTTGTTTATTTAATTCTTTTATCTATTTATTTATTTATTTCTATTAAGGTTTTTTTTTATCACAATGGAACACACCCTGTTTTCTTGTTCTGTTCATTTTTATAATTACATTTAAAAAAAAAAAAAACAAACCTGAAAGCACTGATCACTCTGTAAAAGGAATTAACAGTGGAGACTGTGCACTGTTGCTGTCACGTGGTTCCAAATAAAGGAAGCAAACCAAAAAAAACAGAGACTCTGCCAACAGACATTATTTTTTATAAAAATAAACCCAAGTGCAATAAAACACTGACTTGAATTTGTTGGCTCAGAGATCGTGCTTCAGCTTTATGTTGCATGTTGGTGCTTTGGTGTGCATGTACATACATAATGTCAACATGGAAACCAATAATGTTCTGTGAAAAGGACCAGCAGGCCTATTTCTGGGAAATCTTCGCTCTGTCGCCGCTGTGCTTCCAGGAAGTAGAGGGACACACTGGTGGTTTTTATGTGACAGGTGTTTATTGGCTCCACAGAACATAGATGCAGGGTGATTTACAGCATCATGCTAGAAGTGGTGACATCATGGTTAAATTTACAGCCCGCCATGGCTTTGACCTTCGTGAGTGTGCATGTTGTGTGCATTCACTTTTGTAACCATGTAAGCAACACCTAAACCAGTTGGATCGACAGTAGGGTCACGTGTAAAAATAATATGTAGCCTTTATAATTTGGTTTTGTGTCTCTTTCTTGTGCTCATAGAGATCCAAAATTTTCTACTGCTCTCAAATATGTAGACATAAACAAATAGTATATCCTTTTGATGAATGTTTTGATGCTACAGTAAATGTGCCTGTGTGGTATCTTCAGAAAGTGCCCCACTTTCTGCCTCCTCTGACGTGCCACGCCTCAGCAATCACAGGCCTGTTGTGGGACAGGCATCCTCTCCGGGCGGCTGTCATTATCATTCAGGACCCAGGAAACAGTTCTTACAAACTGTCCTCTGACAGCTGAACAGGGTCCGAAGCTTACACTGGTTACAGAATCACTTGGTCCTGTTTGAACTATTGGCACTGCTGCTTTTCTGAAGTACATATCAGTGGGAATATGAGACTGAAGAAGGTCAGTGACAGATGAATGAGGTGTGAAGATAAGAGTCCATTTGATCCTGGAGGCAGAAAATGGATTTGTCTTAAAAAAAATATAATTTCTTCCATGACGTATCAGTATCCAACCTGAGAGGACATACAGTATATACCATGTATTATTTACCTTCAGTCTGCTGCATTAAGGGCGACTGTTATAATGTCACATTACTGTTTGGCTTCAGTGCAGCTATTTTTGGAGCGCTGTTGACTTCAGGAATAGAGACAAGGTAATTCTACACAGGCGCTGACTGCATGGCTGTTTATTCAGCAGAGTTGAAACTTTTACCTATTGTGCCATGAAACCTGAAGAGTGATCTTTTATTATTGAAGGCTTGTATGTGAGCGCCCCTGAGGCTCAGGACACAGCACAACACGGTGAAATACCTGCAGTAACGTGTTGAGTTGATTGAGATGAGTGTCTGTGTGTGTGTGTGTGTGTGTGTGTGTGTGCGTGTGTGTGCGTGTTAGTGTGTGTGTGTGGCAGTTCAGACAGTGTGGAAAATGTGTGGCTTCTGGCCTTGGCAGGGCAGGATTAGTTCTGTCTTGTGTTGAGAGGTTAAGGGGCGTGACATTTAAATCTGTCCCATCGAGAAGGACGACTTTGTGTGTGTGTGTGTGTGTGTGTGTGTGTGTGTGTGTTGGGGCAGCAGGGGTAAGACTTTTGGAGGGGGGGGTTGTCGAAAATGTTAGAAATGTCATTGCTCCTTATACTGTTTCACTTTGAAAAGGTGACACTCTCTCTCTCTGTCTCTCTCTCTCTCTCTCTCTCTCTCTCTCTCTGTCTTTCAGATAAGTTGTTTGGAAAGCGGCTGCTGCAGGCTGGAAGACACATCATGTCTCATAAGTCTTGGATGAAAACGGTGCCCACAGAGAACTGTGATGTCCTCATGACTTTTGCAGGTCAAGCGCTCAACACACAAGCACACACGTTTGTATATGTGAGGACGTCACTCACATCCCTAGTCCTTAACCCCAACCTTAACAATTATAACAACATGCCTGAGGTCAACCCTTACTGCAACCTAATGTGCTAATTTATTAATGTGCTAATTGTTTTGACTTTCAAGTGTGAATATTTGTGGATTTTCTTGCTCTTCTAAGATATTAAACTAAATATGTTTGGGTTTTGGACTCTTGGTTGGACGAAACAAAAAAAATGATAAAATTGATTGATTGAAAAAAGAATTCATTGATGAATCAATAGAAATAATGCATCGCTAGAAAAAAATGCAAATCACAATTTGCCAGAGCCCAAGGAGCCACATTCAAATGACGTTTGTTTTGTCCAACTAACAGTCTAAAACCTAAAGTTAATCAGTGTACTTTCTTTTCTATTTAGAAAAGAAAACAGCAAATTCTCACAACCGGGAAGCTGGAGCCAGCAAATGTTGGGCATTCTTGCTTGAAAAGTGACTCAAACAATTAACAAAATGGCTGCAGAATAATTTTCTGTCCTATCGACTGACTGTTTCAGTACTAGCAAACGCTAATGCTGAGTCTTGGCCCTCAAAGCGCCCTGTAAAGAAGCGAGGACAGGCTGTAATGTCCAAACTTTCCAGTATCTTCACTCTTAAGGTCTAAATGTTGTTCGTTAGAAACTTAGATCACACTCATGCAGACACATTTAAGATTATACAGTTAAACACATATTATACCTTCTATTTCCAGGATTACTAGGAAGAAAGCAATAATCTTTTATTCAGTCTTCCAAACCCCAAAACATCACTGAGCAGCAGAGAAAGTTTTCAGCCTTACTCTGCTGCAGAATGAATCATTAGTTATACACTGTTGATGACAAAAAGGATGATTATGATATTAATGTTGATGATATTCAACTTTCTTAGCCATGGCCTAGAGATTAGAGTAGCAGCTCCTCTGAACCAGTTAAGAAAGCAGAGAAGAAAAGTCAATCTCAAGCGTTTGAGTGTGACACTTCACCTCCAGCTGCTGCTCAGGAATAAATAACACAAGACTGTGGGAGTACTCGGCAGCTCCAGCGTACAGTGATGCGTGGGTATGGTTGAAAAATGTATTTTTATTTTTTATTTCCTGCCACAGACACTACAGATGACCACACGTTGCTATGGCTACTGAACCACATCCGGCTGGGAATCCCAGAGCTCATCATCCAAATTCGACATCATAAGCACACACGGGTCTACGCGTTCTTTGTCACTGCTACATATGAAAAGTAAGAAATCTGCCCAGACTGTTGAGAGTTATTTCATTCATTTGTCTATCTGTCATTTATTTTTGTGAGTTAAAGATGTTCATCACAGTTTCCCAGAGCACAGGGGGGGGACATCTTCAGATGTCTTGTTTTGTCTGATTACCAGTCCAAAATACTCGATAGATAGAGAAGCAGCAAATCCTTTCATTTAAGAAGTTGGAACAAGTAAATGTTTGATTTACCTGATAAATTATTTAAACCAACAATTATTCAATCAATATTGCTCTAACCAACAGTGAGAGATATGAGAATGAAATCAATGTTTTCATTTCCCAAAATGAAATTCCAAAATGATAAAAAAAAAAAAATATTCCCCAAATGTATGAAGATACTTCATTTTGATGGCTCATGTTATCCCTGTCAGCTGAACACATCCTTGAGCGTGATGTCTGCTTTGGTCCCATGACCTTTTCCAGGTGGCGCTGTTCCTGCTGTGTTTACTGTAGTCATGTGAATGAATCATCCTGTCATCCTGGACAGAAAACAGGCAGGAAGTTACAGCTGTAACTTTCCTCCACAGAGACAGGAAATGAATAAACTGGGTAATGAATAATGCAGTATATCACTTCCTCGAGTAGTTTGAGGTTTTACTTATTTTTAAATGCTATCACTGGAGTTACAAAAATATCCCTGTTGTTCTGTGCTGGTGTAAAATTGTACCTTCATTTATCATGGTTTTATATTTAGCTGCAGCTATAGTGGGCACAGCAGTTTAGCTCATACACAGTGACCCATTAGTGAAGCTGCCATGATGCCTGGTGTATCAGCACCACTGCTCTGCTTCTGGCTGCTGTGCTGCAGGTTATTTAAAGTTTTGCAGAGGGTCGGAGTAAGGCTAAACAGTATGGATTGTATTCGCTCTGATTATGCTACCCAGCCATTGTCTCTTGTTTTGAAAAAAAATCCCCAGGGGAACTGGGGACGAGCCCAGGGTCATTTTAATCTCAGCGATGACTTTGGTGTATAAATACTGAGAAATACAATCCAGCAGATCGGGGTAGCACTCGTTGTTCCATACTGTATTTCACCACTTGACAAATGTTGAGTCCTCTCTGCTGACTGTGCATTCAGCTAAAAAAAAAAAGAGTCTTGACCAAACCTTTTAATAGAATAGAAATGGCCAGATGGCCAGAAGGAAAGACAAAAGAAACAGGGGGAGTGACAGAGAAAGAGAGGGATGAGGACAGGAAAGTAAAAGGAGGGAGTGAGGAGAGGTGATGTGGTGGGAGGATGGAGAGAGTGCTTTCTGAAAGTGTGCTACTAGATTTTTAAAGAAATGCTCAAGGAAAAATGATTCCTGTGTGACACGAGGCACAAACCCCCTCCCCACCCCCCCACCCCCACTCTCACATACACACACCTACTGTTGGATAGGTTGACCTACATTTTACGTGATAGAAAAGATAAGCCAGAAAGTATTCCGTCCACTCACCTTGGATAGTCGTTCCCTTTGCCTACTGAAGCAGTGAGAGTTTTTTAGCTGTGTGAGAATACCAGAGCTCCAGGTGCGTCACCCTCCGCATGCAGGCTTGTGTTTTTATCATGATATCATCTGAAGCAGCATTGTTCTCTCCCCTATGTTCTTGTTTTGAAAGAGATCAGTAACCAGCGCCGAAATTGTGTGCTGTGAGAGGGGTATGAGACCAGCATCGGAACAGCTGGAGACATGGGTTCAGAGCTGTTTTGTGTTTTATTTTCAGAATGGCTCCAATTGTTGCTTTGAGAACAACTTGAGCAGGAAGCACAGTTTTGGCAATTAGCATACTCGGTGTGACAGCCTCTTTTTCTTACCTGATATCCAACCCATTACTCATTCCTCAGCTCTGACTGGGCACTTTACAGCATGTCGTCCTGTTCTGCTGAGTTTCTACATTACACCTGATAGATACTTGCTAAATTAGCATAAACCTTATGTGCAGCGTTCCCCCTCAGCAGTATTCTGTTCTCTTACAAGGTTAGCTTTGTCCACACATTGCCTTTGCCTGCATCTTCAAATTAAGACTCCTGATATTTGGAAAGAGAGTGTAAAAAGCAATAAAGGTTTTGATTCAATAAAAAAAGGGGGGGATCTCATTAAGATTCTTGGCAGCAGCAGGAGCTGCACACCTCTGAAGAGCCTTGTAGTTATTGGCTTAGATTACTAAGCAGTTGGTTTAAATAGATACGGCATTGTTTTTCCTCAGAAAAGGACTTTTATTTTGATAGTGCTGCACACTAAGCAGTATTCAGCGGTGATACAGAAGCTTACACATCGCATTTCTGCTGTAATCCATCATAGTGCTGAACATACTTCACTGTCCTGCTCCTCAAAGTGCCCAGAGCTGCCTGATGGATGGATGTTACAAGCCCACCTAGGCTGAATTCCTGTATGTGTGTGTATAGACTATATATACATGTACATGTGACAGAGAGAGAGCGAGAGAGAGAGAGAGAGAGAGAGAGAGAGAGAGAGAGAGGTGAGCTGTCAGCCTGTAGGGAACAGAGGGCGTGGTGCTGCATTATTACTGCGATTTCAGCACAAAGCCGCTGGGAAGGACAGAAGGAGAGGAGAAAGGAATGATGGGATAAAAGAGGAGGTGGGGTGTGGGGGCTGGGGGCAAAGGAGAGGACTCTGGGAGATAAAAGGATGGAGAGTGAAGGGGGAGGGAAGAGAGACAGGAGGATGGAGAGGGTGGAGGGGAGAGGAGACACAGTGGCTGGAGAGGAGGAGGAGGAGGAAGAGAGGAGACATGGAGGAGGGGTTGATAGGAAATGAGATGATGAGAGAGAGTGATGAGGTTAAGACATTAGAGGAGAGTTGAGCTGACTTAAATGCTGTAAGGGTTCATCCATCTCTGCTTTTTTCTGTGGAAAACTGGCCAAATAACTGTAGTAACTTACAGTAGAATGTTTACTACACAGCTAAAATTGAGTTTTGTAGAATTTTGTTCAGCCATACACAAAAGGACACGACTAACTATTATTTTAATAATTTTTTTTGGTTGACAAATTCATTAATAGTTTATTCTATAAAATGTCCAAAAACCTTTCCCAGAGTACAAGGTTACATCTTCAGACTGCTTGTATTGTCCAACCAACACTCCAAAGTTCACCATACATTTTCAGTGATAAAACAGTAAATCCTCACATTTCAATCACATTTGAGAAGTTGGAACAAGAGGCATTTGGTATTTGGCATATTGGCTTCATAAATTACTTAAGAGAATAATCGATCATCAAAATAGGTGTTTATTAATGTCAGCATTAAACAAGAAATGTACAAGTCCCTCACATTCAAAGACACAAGATTATTAAAAATGGATTTTGTACCAAAGATCAACAATTTACACCGGGATAAATGAATTTCTGAAGTCAAGTTACCAGTTTCTTTACCAGCAGCAGCCCCAAGTAGACCAGAAAGCATTGCCTCTACAAGAGATGACCTGAATAACGGGAATGACTGCTTCCTTTTTGTCAGCTGGCGAAATAACTCTTGCTGTTACTATGCAGTCACTATCAATACTGCTCTCTCCACCTACATGCTGTAACGGTGTAACTGTCAGCTGAGTGCAGCAGCTTGAGGCACATTATCTGTGGGTTATTGACAATTCTGAGAACCAGTATGTAGGCAAACACTCACTGACGCAAATGTTGTCAAGACAAGTTGAGGTAACGCACAGAAAACTGAACACCTCAGATTGAAGAAGTGTCTTTTTTGTTCTCTCTCTCTCTCTCTCTCTCTCTCTCTCTCTCTCTCTCTCTCTGTGTCCTGCAGTTTGTTGCGAGGAGCTGAGGAGATGGCACTGAGGAAAGCAGTGAAGCCCGAGTTTGGGGGAGGAACACGAAGCTTCTCCTGTGAGGAGGACTACATCTACGAGAACATTGAAAGCGAGTTGTGCTTCTTCACCTCACAGGTCAGAGTCACACACATACACACACACACGCACACGCACGCACACACACACACATATGCAGGTAAACATGCTCTCAAGGCCTCACCTGACTCGCGCCTCTTGTTCACCGCAGGAGAGGCAGAGCATCATTAAGTACTGGCTGGACAATCTACGTGCCAAACACGGGGAGGTGCTTCATAATATCAACTTCCTGGAGGGCCAGCCAATTAGTAAGCTGCTTATTTTTTTCTTTATCACAACAGTGTCACTAGACGCCTGGCGATGTTTGTGTTTGTCAAACAGAGGACAGTTCCTGAAGGGCTTTGGAAATAATCCCTCAGTTGGTTTGGGTTTGAAATCCTGAGGAGACGACTGTGATGTATCTCATTGTTTACTGCAGCTGATAGTTTTAGTTTTGTCTTTACATACTGCCCTGTTACCTGTTCCTCTCTGATCTATCTGTGTTTCTCTTTTTGAACAAATTAAATTTACAATAATTCCATCTTGCTTTATTATTCTCTGCAGTCCCAGAGCTGAGCGCGCGAGGTGTGATCCAGCAGGTGTTTCCTCTCCATGAGCAGAGGATCCTCAGTCAGCTGATGAAGTCCTGGGTCCAGGCTGTTTGTGAGAAACAGCCCTTAGGTCGGTACATCAAAACACGAATGGAGACACACACTAATATTAATGTAATACTGTTGTACAACCACAAGACAAAAGAAGGTGCTTTTGATACAGTTTGAGTGACATACTTAGCACATACAGTAGTTCCATATTTACAACCTTTTATTATAATGTTTGTTTCCAATGATTTTACTCATTCTGATATTTACAGATGATATCTGTGACTACTTTGGGGTGAAGATCGCCATGTATTTTGCCTGGTTGGGGTTCTACACCACCTCTATGTTGTATCCTGCTGTGATCGGCTTTGTGCTGTGGATGCTCACCGAATCAGATCAGGTGAGAGACTGTTATAGCCTCAAACAGCTTTAATCGCCGACCACCACCGAAAAATCACGTTGCTTGATCATAGTCTTGAGCATCTGTGTTTTTGCGTTTGGGGCCTTCCAGACTAGCCGTGACATCTGCTGTGTGGTGTTTGCGCTGTTCAACGTGGTGTGGGCCACTCTGTTTCTGGAGCGGTGGAAGAGGAGGGGCGCCGAGCTGGCGTACAAATGGGGGACTCTGGACACGCCCGCTGAATCCCTGGAGGAACCACGGCCTCAGTTCCGGGTGAGAGAAACTAAAGCCTCCTGTCCTCCTTTCTTCTTCTCTTCTCTTTCAGGCCCTGTTTATACTTTCTTTGTCTCTCTCTCTTTGTCTATCTCTCTCTCTCTCTCTCTCTCTCTCTCTCTCTCTCTCTCTCTCTCTCTCTCTCTCTCTCTCTCGGCAGGGAGTCAAGCGCTGTAGTCCCATAACAGGATGTGAGGAGTTCTACTATCCTCCGTGGCGGAGGCGTGTCTTCAGGTGGCTGGTCAGCCTGCCCATCTGTATCCTCTGTCTCTGTTTTGTCTTCCTGGTCATGCTCATCTGCTTTGAGCTGCAGGTCAGTCAGCTGTCAGCATCTGTTGTATACCAGTATTTTTGTGGTCAAAAATCTCCTTCTCCATGTATCTGTCCTTGTTTAGTGTCGAAAATTTCTTTTGAGGGTGGTTGTAGTGATGCCACAAACCTGTTAAAAGTTAATTTCTTTGACGGCTGTATAATATAGACTATACAGACAGTGAGTGGAACCTAATGTTAATAAAGCAAGAGAAAACAACCTCACCTGCGATTGTGTCTCCGCAGGAATTTGTGATGGGGATCAAGGAAATGCCCCGGCTAGCTCGCTTCATCCCCAAAATTATGCTAGCTATCACTGTGACCGCATGTGACGAGGTGTACAGGAAAATTGCCTGCTGGCTCAACGACATGGGTAAGAGTCAAGCTCCTGGAGTGATCCAAATCTACATTCACATTAAGACCAGAGCATCTCTTGTAGCAGATAATAATCACTAAAATTGCAGGTTAACGCTCTTCGTGGATCAGTTGTAATCTCTTGTAAACTCTAATTAGTAATTTACTTTTTAATTTCACAGTGTATTACATTGTTTATGAGTGGGTCTGGAGGTATAAGAGATGATTTTTATTCCACAGAAAACTATAGACTCCAGAGTGCCTATGAGAAAAATCTCATCATCAAAATGGTTCTTGTGAGTGAATTTTCATAATATCTAAAATACCCATGCGATTTAGAATCTTATTATTTTTTTAAACATTTCTTTTCATATCATTTTCTTTTTAATGACACCTGGCATTTCTTTCTCTTGCAGTTTCAGTTTGTAAATTCTTATCTCAGCCTTTTTTACATTGGATTCTACCTCAAAGACATGGAGCGCCTGAAGGAGGTAAGCAACATCCCGGCTCTAATGCCTCAGTGAATCTCCTGGCTTCCAACGTGTGTTGTTGCAGTCTCCCATCCTTAAATACTTTGCTCTCTCTGCTTCCATGCATTGATTTCCATAACCATCCATCCACGCATCCATCCATTTGTCCATCTGTGGAAGATGCTGCTGGTCTTGTCTCTGTTAAGGAGTCTGCAGCGGCAGATCCGGGTGAATGTGCTGCCCTCCCTCTTCCTCAAGATCCGGATGCTTGTGGTCTCTGTCCCTTGGTCCTCAAGGGCTTTGCTCAGGTCCAAAGTATGACCCCTGTACATCCTCTGGGTGGGAGGTCAATGGTCCATTTCTGACCACCCCCTGTCATCCCTTTGCATGCCACGTTTGAACCACGCAATGAACTAGCAGCCTGCTTTTTTAAAAAGTATTGTTTTTTGCCTTCTGATTGTCTCTGTCTGGTAAAAGCTCGCAACTGCAAATTTGGTCTTTTCTGTCGTTGTGAAAACTACATCATTTGGAAACGTGGCTTTCACCAGACAGCAGTGACAGATGAGCTGCTTCATGTATTGATATTTTAAATTGTAGGTGGAAGATTATGTCTGGTTGTTTAAATGATTGGTGTTTTCATTTCTGACCGACTGAAACCTCACAGCTCATCCTTCCATTTTCCCTCCATTAGGCCCCCTCACCAACATCGTTCCTGGTTAAAATCTTTGAGTAGGTTTCTTTTGCTTTTCCGTTTTCATCGACATGGTTATATGGGGGTCAATGTGTATTTTTTTTTTTTTTATAGGTCTTTTCCTTCCACGCAGTGGGAAGGTGTGAATTTTTCGATACAACTCTCACCACTCATTCCTCAATTTCTCACTCAGTCTGTCAGTTTCTGCTCCACTCTCCGCCGGAGTGCCACCTCACTCAGCTCGTTGTAATGTGTTAGCATCACCCGACTTCATTGTTTTCCCAAGTCTGAGTACCGACCGATACAGCCCGGCTTCTACAAATATTTGTCAAAGTATATTTACTTCTTTGCTAAGTCAATCGGTCCACTTTCTAAAGAACTGCATGAATACGCAAGAGTAAAATAACCTTAAAAAAGTAAAAGGCAGACATGACTTTTCTTGGATCCAGTTAATCTTCATAATGTAAATAAATAGCTGCCTCTGAAGTAAGAATAACCTGGCTAAATCGTTGCAAAAACACTGAAATGTCTGAAATGAAAACCATCTGGTGTTGTCAGCTTGATTCTGCCAGTGTCTGACTCTGACATATCTGTGCTGACTGTTCCAGTAGGTAGCCGTGGGAGAACAGCATCTCCTTCTCTCCATTTCCGAGGTCTCCCATCATTGAGTGAAAATAACATTGTGTCCATGTCCTTGTCAGGAATTCATTGTGGTTTTGCGTTTGCATTCTGTGCGTCAGCATTATTTGACTTGGGGGCAATTGCTTTTAGATTAAAGGATTGTAAGGTTTGTGATGCAGTTCTTTAAATTTTTCAGAGTTAAAGGATATGTCTGGTGTTCTGTTTTCTTTTGGCCAAAATGTCTCTCAGCTCTGACAGTATTTGACATGCTGTGTAAATTGCAATAAGGTCCAACACTATAAAAATAGACTCAAGTTTTAATAAACTGGAATACCCTTTAAGTTAAGCATATCGGTGCTTCCTAAAGTCTGTCATTTGAAGTGTATCTGTTCTTCGAGGTTATGAGTATTATTGAAAGGCCTTCGATGCCCATGTTCATCAGTCATCATCTTCAATTCAACACATGCCATTGAAATGGCATTAACAGTGAATTAGATGGAGCATGAAACTGCAGCTGCACTGCTCCCACTTGGTTCTTTTAAACATATCACACCTGTGGACACATCCCAGTCAAGACATTTTTAATGCACTAGGAAACGTTCAGCAGCAGTTTTCTGTCTGAAGTGATTTGCCTGTGGATAAAGTCTGCATATATAATTTTGTTTTGATTGATTTGTTCTATAACGATGTGTCCCACTGCTCTCTCAGCCTATGATCATATCCTCTCTTCTGTCCCGCTGGTCCTCTTTCTCCCCCCTCCACCTTCCTCTCACCCATTGTACCTGAAGCTGTTTGCATTTTTTTTCCAGGGAAGCGTTTCTTTCGAATGCTCTGGATTATTCAGTCACTGTGGCAGCTCATTTCTGTCCGTTCTTGTCAGATGCTGGCCACTCTGCTCATCATACGCCAGTTCCTTCAAAATGTGAAGGAGGTTCTGCAGCCTTACCTGTATGAGCGCCACAAGCTGGGAGAGCTTACACTGCGAGCTGTGTGGGACCTGCTGCTCTCGGTGCTGCTAAAATATGCCCGACTGGCAGCTGGGAAAGCCCAGATCTCTCCCACTGACCAGGCCATGCCAGGACCTGGACTGAGGGGCACCAGGCCCGGGCTGGGGCAGCCAGAAAGAAGGTGAAACACATTATTAAAACTCAGTTTCAATTAATAAATGCAGTAAACATACACTTTAGTAAAATATGCATGTGCACTAGAGTAAGTATTAACATTTGGATGTCAAAAACAAGTGAAATTAATCCTTTGTTGATGCAATTTGCAGCATGCTTTTAGAGAAGCGATCAGTGTGATGAGCAATGACATTTATGTGTTTGCAGTTGTCACTTACACCAACACTCAGAGTATTAGTCACTACAAACAGACGTGGTTGAGTTCAAATAAAAAGCCACTTAATCTGTCTCTGCCTTTGTCTGTCCATTTGCATGCAGTTATGATTGATGCTGGTCAGACACTGAGTAAATAGACCATCAGGGAACCTCTGTGAGCAGTAAATGTACACGTTGACGTCTGTTGGTCTCTTCAACTCCTCTCAGGGAGAAGAAGTGTTTAAACGGGGGATGCGGGGTGCCTGATGAAGACGAGCGAGGTGAGAGGGACGAGGCTGACAGTGGGAGGTTCAGTGAAGGGGAGACGGAGGAGGAAAGTCTGATCGACTGTGGTCTGAAGCTGAGGAAAGTCAGCTTCATAGAGAAGGTACAATACAGTGTGATAACATAAATGTGTTAATCTGCTTATACTGTAGCACTTTTATCATTTGTTAAAAAAAAAAGATGCTATGCAATCAGAGTAACAATTGTTATTAGTAGTAATGGTAGTTGCTGATGATGTTGCTCAGGTGGACAGAAGGCCAGTCTGCAGTGGGCCCCCCATGGACAACAGTTTCCTGGAGGAGGGGAGCCCCACTATGGTGGAAAAAGGAATGGACCCTGCCTCTGTGTTTGAAATGTGTGACGACGACGATGATAATGGCATCCATGATGTGAAGGAGTCCAGTGGGGGAGGGACAGGGGCGGCCGAGGGAGTCAATGCTGCTGCCGTTTCTGCTGCCGCTGCCGCCGGCACCGCTCCGCTGCCCTCTGGGTCTGAGAGCAGCACGTCGCTGCGACACAGAAGAAGAGGCCGGAGCACTGAGAGACCCGAGCCTAAAATGAAAAGGGAATCATGGATGGACCCACCTGAAGAGAGAGAGAGCACCACGCTCACTCAGGCTGAGATGGAGAGCTGCATGCAGACTTATGCTGTAAGAAGGCCCGGATACTTCACCTCATCTGTAAACTGTGCACAGAGTTTTAAAGGGTGATACTTTGTATCCTTTGAAACCATTTGAAGATAAATTCCAGTATTTTTGAACCTGGGTGTTATCCTCATATTTTTGTCCATTATGACTATTAGTCATGGAAACAGGTTACTCATCACCTCTGTTGCAGACATTTGAGAAGCGCAATTTCAGGAAAAAATTATGTTAATTGGTTTACAGAGGTCCCACTTATTTCTAAAAAACTTCAGTTGTACCAAACTCCTATCAGGAGCATCCATTTATTGTAGAGTGGCAGGCAAAGGAAACTGCACAATGTGTACCCTGTCATTTTAAAAACTTGCCAATCATCATCTCTCATTTGCTACCATGTCTCTAGCATACACACAAGCTAAATAGAGAGTGAGCCACGACTTTGCACTACTGTAAACAAACCGCTGTGTGTGGAAGAATAAGGCAGCTAGCAAGTTGACCAGGGAGTAGATCCACTTTTCTTTGACGTTCACAGCAACAGGTAGAAGGACTAGTCCCTGTGTTTCATTATGGTCTGATTCAAAAACGGATGATTTGTGTTCAGGTAGATTATTAGGAAAGCTGATTGACTTTTGATGATTGATTGTTGCAGGAATCCTTCTTTCCAAAATCTCTAAAATGGATGAGTAGAAATTCTCATTACTAATAGTCATAATAGATAAAAGCATGAGAAAAACATCCAGCCTGACAGAATTTGACTTAGTTTTTTCATGAAACTAAGATCGTGAAGATTTCCTCTGTAGAATCTGCCGCATAATATAGCCTTAACATGAATCATCATCTACAGTTGCAGATGGTTTAGGTTCAAGTCAGAATAGATTGGAAGTGGTTGTAAAATCTTGTATAATAGTAGGTAAACAACTTGGCCATACATGTTGCCAGATGGGGATCACTTGACTGAGTCGTCATACTTACTGTAGGTCAGCACTGCAACATGAATCCATCACAATCCCTCAGCCTTCACAGTTACATGACACCTCACAAGTGCCAAGAGTGTAAACTGAATAACACTGTCTTATGTTACAAAAAAATCATAACTGACTATATGACATATGACTATGTCGTTGTTTAGTACTACTGCACATTGATTTACTGTACAGAAATGCAGTCTTGTCTTCTAGCTGGCAAATACTAGCATTCAGTATATACAGTATGTACCGGGTAGAGCTTTAGTGTAATGATCCATTTTGTCCCTCTCAGGACACCTTCCAGGACTACCAAGAGATGTTTGTCCAGTTCGGATACGTGGTGCTCTTCTCCTCAGCCTTCCCTCTGGCTGCCATGTGCGCTCTCATCAACAACATCATCGAGATCCGCAGCGATGCCTTTAAGCTCTGCACTGGTCTGCAGAGGCCCTTTGGACTCAGAGTGGAGAGCATCGGCCAGTGGCAGGTCAGGGAGACCCACTGTGAAAGTTAACATGAGCTCATGAGATTTTTCTGCCTTTCCTGGAAATTGACTGAATTCATTTTCACCCAAACAGTAGTGATACTGCCAGATGCACAAAAACTGGCTTTGAAGGTTAAAGAGAATCGATGCTCGTGTAAACAGCACTAACGTTAACTACAGTATGTAACAATGGCATGAAATCAATTCAGTCAATCTACTGATTTAATCGGTTAAATTGCTGCTAATATCTAATGACAAAAATTGAACTGAACTTAATTAAATGATTCTCTGTTCTCAGCAAAGCATAAAGCCATTTCTAAGAAACAGCAGAGCTGAAATCGGTTCTTTTTTTCCTCTTGTTCAGACTGCAATGGAAGCCATGGGCCTGATTGCCATCATAGTGAATTGTTACCTGATTGGTCAGTGTGGTCAGCTACAGCGTCTCTTCCCGTGGCTCAGCCCTGAGATGGCCATCATCTCTATCGTCATCCTCGAGGTTCGTTCCCTGCGAGTCGGTCTGAAGTGCTTAGAGCAGTGCTTTTCCAAACTTTTTCTCTGGGCACCAGCATTTCCAAGTCACCCGTTTTCTTATGACCCAGCACAAAATTACTGTTAAAATGTGCGTGGTATTTAAACTGCAAACACACATGAACGTCCATGTTACTCTGTTAATTACAGAACACATCATCCTGTGATCCAGAAGATTTAAAGAAAATTGTTTACAGGAAGATGTGGTGGTCAATCAATACTATATACATATATCAAATATCAGATAGTGTGTTGTGTGCTTATGGTAAATACAGTATGTGCTGATAGAGCACAACTGAGCATTCCAGCTTCTCTTATTGTGGGGTCATCTATAGACACCCAAACCAGAAGGTGTCTTACAACAACTATTTCTTCAAGTGACTGAAAATAGCACAAGAGAAATGCTGTTGAAACCAAATCAAAAATAATGTACATGAAATATACAACTCTCCATGTTTCTTCCACTACTTTTAACATATTTTGGAACTTGTTCTGTCAGCTGTGCAGCTGTATATATTAAGGAAAAGCCTACAGCTCTGTCTTGGCCTGGTAAAGACGTCAGGCCCATCAGAAGGAGAATTTCACGGCTCAAATGTTGTTTTGCAAGAATTAGTTCAAGTAACATCCCCTGGAAAAAGTATTCTGAAGCACTGTGATCTGTTTCTGACTGGGATTGAACTTTCACGTAGTCATTGTTTTGTTTTTATCTCTCTGTCTGTCTGCAGCACTTTGCCATTCTCCTGAAGTACATCATTCATGTGGCCATACCTGACATTCCTACCTGGGTCAGAGAGGAAATGGCTAAACTGGACTATCAGCGCAGGGAGGCCTTTAAGGTAAATTTTGAGACCATGTGAGAAAGTTTAATTTGAGAGGAATAAAGTTGAAGAGCTTTTCAGGCAGTTTGAACAAGCCCTCAGTAGACTCCATCTGTACTGTAATATAATAAAAAATCTATAGCCAGCTTGTGAGCCAAACTTTCTACTGGAGACATGCTGTGCTGCAGCACTGCAGCTTTCTTTCTGGAGATTATTTGCTTGTCTAACACTTCTGGTGATATTTTAGCAACAACACTTTTGAGAAATACACATAGAACATAGAAAAGAGATTAAGCTGTAGTGGACCCTGCAGTACCGATGCAAAGTTCTTTCTGTAGTAAGGGATTTGTTAGATGGTAGCACTGCAGTATGGTAATGGTTAGTTGGCTTGCTGCTGATTCTAGTAAATACATTGTGGGAATGTTTCCCTTCCTCTGCAGAAGCATGAGCGGCAGGCACAGCAGCATTACCAGCAGCTGCAGAGGAGGAAGAGGGAGGAGGAGGAGAGGCAGAGGCAGGCGGAGCATATGGCCCGCAGGGAAAGGGAGCGGGACGAAAGCAAGGGTGACTCCTCTGGGGATCACCACCACGACAAAAGTCATGGCAGCAAATCACGCCCCGGGGGAGGAGGAGGAGGGGGTGGCGGGTCAGACAAACCCAAGAGGCCCAGCTCTCTGCTGGCCAACAATAATGTGATGAAGCTGAAACAGATCATCCCACTGCAGAGCAAGTTCTCCTCAGGTGGCGCCCGCTCCCCGCAGTCGCCCACCGGCAATGAGCCGAAGCTGCCCGGGTTCCTGAGCTTCAAATTCCTCAAGTCACCTGAGAATAAGAAGGAAGGTGCTGCGGTTTCAGCGGCTGCCGCTGCAGCCTCTAATGCCACAGCAACAGCCTCCTCATCATCATCATCATCATCATCATCTTCATCATCAGGTAGCAGCTCTCAGGAGCGTTCTCAGTCACCCAGCAAAGCCTTCAACCCTGGGAAACTGTTTAACTTTGGGAAATCTGAGGGAGGGACATGTGTGAACGGGGCTCCGCTGCCCAGATCTGGGGAAGGATCGTCATCACAGACATCGGAAAGACAACCTTCCAGGTCTGACTTGAACGGCGTTCCGGACGAGATCCCCTCGCCTGGAGGGGAAGAGTCCGAGAACGGACATTCAACAGACTTGGACACGGCCGGCTCTAAAGTGTAGTAGCTCCAGAGAACAAACTTGTCTTTGGTTACATCTCAACTGAAGAAGTGATGTGTTTACTGTGAGGAAAGGCCTGACCTACCCTCTGTATTGTCGTAGGCCGTGTGTAGAAGTACTTGAAGCAGAGAGAGGAAAAGATGAAACTGATGAGAGATGATCGTTGTTTTGGTTTGCTTTTTTGCTGAGAGACAAAAAACAGGCTTTATAAGAAAGAAGTAAGCCTTCCTATTATGACCGGAAAAAAACACACACACACACACACACACACACACACACACACACACACACACACACACACACACACACACACACACTCCCTTACATACACACACAAACACACACACACACACACACTCCCTTACACACACACACAAACATACAAATCTTTCCTTGTCTGCAATACATGAAGAAATGCATGAGCTGCGTTTCTAATATTTTTAAGCCTTTAAAGCAGAGAGCTGTGTTTCTTGATTTCTTCTAGTCAGAAATTGTAAGCGTCTCAGTGGCCTCCCACTAAGGACATAACAGTTTGTTGTGGAGGATAAAGATTTTAAAAACTAATACAGTGGTAAGAAAGGATCACCGATTGTACATCAAATTACTACTGAGAGTGTTCTTTAGCTGTCACAACACAAGTGATCATTAGATACTGTCTCATTTTTAACCGTGAGGAATTCTTGGGCCCCTCACTTTTGTATTGAAGTGGAAAAATGGAAAAGCAATATCAATCAGTGTTATAATTATCCTTATCAATCATCACACAATGCCCCCCCCCCTTTAATAAGCATCCCTGATATATCACCAGCTTTATTTTTCAAAGCAGAGGTGATGTCTGAGCTTTGTACACTTCCTCCCACCCTGCGCCAGACTCCCGATTTGTGCAAAAAGAAAGTAACGAGCTTACAAAATCAAGCTGTTACACACCAGTATTTTTCCCGAGAGAGCAAGCGGAAGAGAGACAAGAAAAAGCAAAAAATAAATGAATAAATAAAACTAGAAGTAGACAAGGATGATTTTGAAAAAGTGGCGCATGGAGGCCTGTTGAGTGCTGTTCTCCATCCAAGCCCGCAGAGCACCTTGTAAACACAGATGGTGCTCCATTCCACACACTCGAACCAGACTTGGCAAACGAGCGCAGAGTTAAAGAGGTAACATTTGCACTAAACCCTGACGCCCTGCATAGAAACGTATCCTCTCTCTGCAGGAGAGAGAGAGAGCCGACACCAGCCTGCCTCATAACATTATGCAAAAGCTGGATTGTTTGTTTTCCTCCTTCCACACAGTACATGTTATCTCCTCACCACGTCCCTGCGCTCAGCAACTGCGGGATTTTCCAAAATATTCAAATGAGGCTTTTTTTAAAAAACAAAAAACAAAACAATAGTTGCTCTTATTTATGTTGAGCTCCATATCTTTTTTATATGCACCATTTGCTGATGATTGAGATTTCCTTTTTTAACCAAAGTGTTATTTTTTCGGATTATACTCTTATCCCAACATGTGTGTTCCGTATATTCTGTTAATCATGTACTTCAGCGCTGTTTATGAAAAATATGTTCCTCAAGTAAGCCCATCATCATCATCATCATCATCATCATCATCATCATCATCAGCATCAGCATCAGCATCATCTGCCATTAACCCGTGATTCACTTCTTGCAGGGCCTCCAGAAGGTGGCGCCACAGTTTACCTGCACAGAAAAGTGTGTTGTTAAACCACTTATCTCGATTCACTATTGACTATTAACCCATAAAATCAGTGTCTTGTTATCAGTGTACAGCAGGGGCAGTGAGATTAGAGCGTCTGGCTGCAGTAGAAGAGCTCTTTGAAAGGGAAATGCATCATGGAGTCTCATAAGATAAAGTACACAGTGAGAAAAAGTTTCAGGGGCCGTTGCACTGTAGGGTGAGAGACAGGAACATTAACTATGCATTCCCACACCATCACCTCTGGCAAGGATTTTGGCAATAAGATGTAGGAGACTTACATGTAATACTATAAGTCTAGACTAACCCCCCCCCCCCACCCGCAGCACCAATTCCTCCTGCATTATCCCCAGCCAGACTCTATGCATCTTTTCTTTGTATCTCCTCAGTTTTTACCGTCAGTGACAGCTCTCTCAGCCCCATCCTGTCTCATATTTAACGTGAGGAATCTCCCCCTGACACCCAGTTAAGAATAATAACAAGAATCTCATCCATCTAGCGCTTTGTGTTTACAGAATCTGACGATTCTAGGGAGCTTCAAACAGGTTTGTATATTCTGTTGCTCCTTTCATGTGTCTATAAAAACTTCACAGTGCGTGAAGTCCACCTTTCAGTCACATGCCTAAAGAAAATACAAAAACATACTTCCGCAGAGAGACAAAAAGATCTTACTGACATCAAATGCAATAAGGAAGTAGGACATTTGTGTGGTCAAAGTATCATTTTGCTGGCTACCTACAGTACGTTCTTTTTTTATATTAGGAAGTCTTGTTCATTATACATGTAAAATGAGAAGTGCAAGGCTGGGAGAAATGTAAGATCATCAGTGTCTTTGTGTATCATTCTCACAGGCTGGTCATTGTTAAAAAGGAAAGTTCACAGCAGAACAACAGCATAGCAGAGATGGAGATGGTACAGCGTAGCTGAGCACTGTCTCATCTAAACCTTTTTTTTCTTGCAGCATTTGGATTTCAGGGATGAATGACGCCATGATGCAATAGAGTCTGTTCATCATCATTTGAAAGTTTTTGTCGAAAGGAGGTAGAGGTAACCGGAGAGAGAGGGCAGAGATAAGGGCATTTGTTGACACTGACATATCACAGTGGAGTTTAGGTCATGCCTCCATGTATGTAGTTCCTCCTTATTCAGGGAAAACTTGCAACTTCGTAGAGTAGAAATGGATACCATTAACCAACTTATCACTACTTTCATCCTTGCACTCTTGGCAGCAGCAACAAATTTTGCATATTGTTACAATGGAGGTCTTTAAATAAGCATTAATTGAAGTAAAGTAACAGATGTTGAATAGTTTTGGGTTTCATTGAAAACTTAATCCCATGCCAGTGACAACACCATCACCGTTCTCTTGGGCCAGGCACAGGCGTCCCTCTCATAAGGACTCATCAGCTGTCTTTAATTCACGATCACAGCAGCAACAGTTCTTTTAGGAGTTTAGGCTTATTGTATCTACACTTCCAAGTCAGTCTAATGGGAAATCAGTGGGAAAGGACTGAGTGAATTTAGTAAATGTACTGTCTTCTGGACTTCAGGTGAGACTCTCACCCCAGCTACATTAAAACCTGACCCTAACCTCAAAGTTTAAGATAAGTCATCGTCATGGAAGCCTCACTTGCTGAACATCATTTGCTCTTCCAATGTACCACTGTACAAAAAATCTTTTAAAGAAAAATACTGGGAAATGGGACTATTTATTTCTTTTAATTTATTTTGTCATATTTTTGTAAGACCTGAAAAATAGTTAATAAAACTATTTGAAATGCATTTTGTGTTGTGACTGACTTGTTCCTGCAAAACTATCAGTGTTTTTTTTTTCTCACCCGCACAAATTATTAACCTCAAGATTTACAGAATCTCTTGAAGTCAAGGATTTGAGAAATATAATGAATAATATATCATGTATTTAAAGTACCACATCACAAAAACCCAGTTTCAGTCCAGTTTTATTTCAGCAAAGCTAAAAAGAACATGTCTTATCTAACACACATGAGATGGGGCAAGGCTTAGGGTGTAGTACGACAGTCTATCTGAGCAGAAGCATAACACGGTTTTACGCTTCGAAAACAGACAGGGTATTTACACTGTAGTTAGGAAGATGACTGACCACACTGTAGCATCCACCGGTAAAAGGACAGGAAGGACAGGAGGCTTTGATGTGACTCTGATGGGCAGTGGTAAGAACATTTAATAAAAAGCTTTATTCAGTGTTGTACAGTATATGACACCAATACAAACTGAATCTCTGGAACAAGGCAGGATGGCGACTGCACTTTGCTGTGCATGCTTATTGTGCATTCTATGGCTGAAAATATAACACCACTTTAAACCCCCGTGTGTTCATCTAAGCCAGCTCTCAGACAAAAACCATGCGGGGCTGTCACAAAGACAGGGCGAACAGTACAGCTATCCCGGGCCCTGAGCTGGGGGAGCAAAAGGGTCCGAACCATGACGACACGTTGTAAGGCCTCTAGGCTAATACCTTCCACAGTCATACGAGATAACACCACAACCCCAGCACCCCTTAAGTTTTACTACTGGTCCAGGAATATAAAACCCAGCCGTGAAAACATTAACATGCAAGGCAAGATAACATCCACTGGACACGGGGCTCTTGTCTTTTCCTTCACAAGGGTGATTTTCTATTGTATCCACAGGCATGTAATATTTTACAAAAAGGCAGACACAAAGATATTCCATTGGATAAACTAATTCTTGTATGGTAATTATTTACACACAACATAAGGTATTCTTTTTCCCTTTTCCATACATTACTATACATATTTTGCTTCATTATCTGTGCTGTTTCCAAGTTGTGCAACTGAAAATCCAACAATATGATTAACATTTTCATAGTTGGATGTAACTTTTTCCTTCTTTTTCTTTTACATCCTTTGATGACAGAGAAGCTAAAACTCAAGGCCAAACCCTTTCTTACTAGCTTCGATTGGCCAGATGGTGGTGCTAGATGTAAAAATATATCTCAGAGACACCAACACAACATTAATCCTACAAGCACAAGTCCCAGAATAGAATGAAGATATGCATATTCACCATACACACACATCTAAGGGGAAGAGTTGCTTCTACTTTGTGCTGTTCTTCACAGTGCATTGTTGGTTCTGTTGATTCAAACAGTGTGGAGAAATGTTGCAATGCCCCCATGTGGTTGCAGAGTGGGCAGTGAAACTGAGAGGGCGGGCACTGTGGCTGGCAGGAAGCTCATTGCCATACATAAACAATAATAGTTATAATAAAATTAAAACAGTAACAAAATGTTATCTCTGCACAAATCAGGACAGACTCTCCAGGAGACAGAAGGCTACACAAGTCATGTACCAGTTATGAGACTGATTATAAGGGTAGTGTCTGACTTTATCTGTCAAGTCCATCTCTGATCTTAAATCTACTCTGACAACTATTCACTCACCTCATACACATGCACAGTACAGCACACAATAAACACACACACTCACAGCTCAGCATGCATACAAACATATACACGTACACTAACCCACCCAGGGAATAGCCAATATTAATTAAAAGACACCAGTATAAAGTTCCCTCCCTGGTGATGGTTCTGTCAATGTCAGTGACTAACGCTGACTTTGAGATGTTTTCATGCACTCAATCTTTTCACCATTAATGACTGCTTTGTTGATAGGAATTTCCCTAATTTCTTATGAGTGACTCTTAATTTCATGACAGAAAAGGCATCCTGCCACAGTACAGAATGGTCAGAAGTCTCTATTCGGGTGGGGATTATCCTTTGTTTTTGGTAGTTTCTGTTGGCTATACCCTGTATACGCAAACACACACACATTCTCTCTCACACACATTCTCTCTCTCACACACACATTCTCTCTCTCTCTCTCTCTCTCTCTCTCTCTCTCACTCTCACTCTCACTCTCACACACACACACACACACACACACACACACACAACACACCACACACACACACCACACACACACACACACACACTTATGAGTCCTCATTCATCTCTTGGCTATCTGTCCTGGCGATCTTCCTTGGGGGTGCTGGGCTGTCGCCCTCACCTTGTTCCTGTTCCCTTTTTTTTGCTGCATTCTGTTTGACACAAAGGATTATACATCAGTCAGTAAAAATCAGTTTCTTTTTAATAACATTCAAGCTACCAAAGACCAAAGATTAATCATTGTATTATGAGGCTCATAATAAACAGACCTGAAAAAGACTCAGAGAATGACAGTCAATAAATGAAGCTAGACTTAGGAAATTAACTCAAATGAAATGCACATGCTCACCTTTTTGTCCCACTGCTGATGGAGGTAACGCAGTAGGATGTTGGTCTTCTCTGTTACAATAACTGTAGAGCAAGCACAGCCAGCATATTACTGACAAATTATGTTTAAAGCTGATCAGTTTACCGCACAGTCAAAACCACAGAATGATGTATTTGTTGAAAATACATCAGTGACGAACCACAACAACGGCTTCTGTTAATAACAGCTGACTGTCCTTTTAATATTTATATGATTATTCTATCAAACTATTTACCGTGAGATTGGTACTTACTCTGTTCAGAGGGGTATTCACGTGTTGGAAGGTACACAGAGGGCCTCCGATTCTGCAACAGCACAGAAAGAGAGGTTACAAATTGCAGCTGTGCATTCTACTTATGCACTGTTTTTGTGTATTTACTTAGGGAATTATCACATCATTTTTGATCTTGATATATGAGCACAACTGCTAAACATCTACTCTATAACAAATATTCGGTGGGATTAATGACAGTCTGAGGAAATAAAAATGATCATAGGCTACTTACAGATGCTTTACAAACAGAGTCTGCATGAAACCTGCTGAAGTTGGTCTTATTATAGACAGGAAGTCCTTTCAAGAAATCCGCCTGTGGGAAGAGGGTGAGGTTTACCAAATGACTTATCTTTCATCTTGCATGTAATGCGACCGTAAAGACTACAAGCCCACACCGTCTCTCTATCTGCCCTCTACAAAGATTCTACTGTCAACAAACAGACTGTTGTTATTCACCTGTGGCATTTCATTACCACAGTGTAAGTGTCAAGTGTCATCTAATACAGACGTTAGATAGACGGAGGTGTTCCTGCAAATGTCTGTGGATTCCAGATAACATTGACTGGGTTGGTGCTGGGCGTTCCCTCATCTTAACAACCCCTGCACACCAACGGGCCCGCTGCTCCCCCTGTAACGTCCCCGGTAACCTCCAGTTAATGGAGGTGATGATATCTGATAGAGTGTCCAGCAAGTGGTTTTAAATTAGCGAGTCGTGGCTGAGCACAAAGCGATGCCGGCTTGGCCGTGGTAAATGAATGCCAACAGGAGGAGCAGGTGTGGCTAGCAGCTAACTGTTACTTAGCAAGCTCGCTGTTATATGTCCTCTGAGAAGTGTAGAGCAGCTTATTGAGTTAACGTTAGAAATGTGGTGTGTGTGGAATAAGTACCTTCTCCATGATAATGGTAGAAACGTCGAAACGCCGACTTGCGGGCTTGGCTTGGTGTCTGTTGTGCTGGTCGTGATGGCAGGCAGTGTGAGTATGTTACAGTTAGCCGCGCTAGCTTACTGGCTAGTTAACTGAGGTTAACTATCCTATCGGCTCCTCTTGGCAAACAAGACAACGACCTTCACGCACAAGTTGTTTCCATTCTAAATCCCAGTGTCCATGAAAAAAGAGATAACACAATCAGAATAAATAACCCAAGTTGTCATGGCATGAGTTAGCAAAGCTAGTTAGACAGGACTCCTTCAGCTAGCATGATGGTAGCGATGCTTTCTAGGCCACGCCCCGGGAGCGTCCATTGGTGTACCATTACACCCACGTGGTAGCAGCTCGACCAGAGAGCCAATCATGAAACAGAATTTAGACTAGGTAATCTGCTGTGCACATGATGAGCTTCATTATAAAAAACATCAGCAGCTACTGATCCATACGTATATTGGTCTTTATCTGAACACATTGAAGCCAATGGTAAAGGCTTCTTCTATTCAATTCAATTCAATTCTATTCTATTCTAATCCAGCTATACAAGAGTGCAATTGAAAAAACGACAATTTCTCTGAGGCTCAGGGAATAAAAATCCAGAGTGTAAAAATAATATAAAACAAAACATAAACCATCAAGGTAGTATGAAATATTCTGTCAAAAATGGAGTTGGATACAATTATCCCTTTTTTGTTTTGTTTTCAGAATAGGATAATGACACATTCTGTATTTTTAACTTAGTAGGTCATCTGGTGAGTTTACCACATTATGAGATGTTTCTATCTGTGAATAGATATGCTAGGTCAGTTTCTGAAAGAGAATTGCAGTCAAACTCCATACACCAATTCAGTATTATATTGCCTAAACCTGGAGATCCACTGTTATTTAACACACATCACGTTTTAGTTTTACTTAAAGAGATCATCTCCTGACATGTTTTAAGACAAATCAATATTATCTCTTAGAATAATAATTTGTGTACAATCTTTTTTTTTTTTTAGCAATAAAGTTCAATTACAGAGATAAAAATTCTTAATATTACATTTACTCGATTGTCCTCATTTAAAGAATATAGAATCTATGCACTGGCAAATACTGTTGTACACCGTTCTCAATGTACAGTATGTGCAAAAGCAGATCACATTTTTGAGCAGAGGGGAACTTTAAAGCCACACAATCTTTACGTCTTTTTTTGTGACTCTACTTTTAATTTCCACTATTTTCAGCTCTCTCACGCTACGACACATAGTATTATTGATATCAATATATCATAGTTTATGTCGATCACAGTATCTAGATAAACTTTGGGATGAACCTTAATGTGCCGCAGCTGGAGGGAGGCCTAAACAATACAGTAACTGGCTTGTGGGTTTACTGGGTCTTGATTTCTGTAGTCTGCCCTCACCTCACCCTGGCACCTGCATCCTTGGACTCCTAACAAGTAGCTACCTAGCAACAACAGCCATGGCAACTGCCACAGCACCAGCTCCTTATGACACCGGAGAACGGAGTGCTAAGATAAGATGGAGAGAGTCTGGGCATGCTTATGGAGAGGATTCAAGTAAAACAGGTTATAGACTATATTTTAAAGAATACAAGTTTGAATAATCACAAGTTATTTTTTGTCCTACTACCAATCACTATGTTTTCCAAATCAGTGTTGCAAAATGCACCTTAATTTGTAAGCAATTGCTGAAACAATGAAATGAGTAAAACTACCAGCAGAAAGTTTTTCAAGCAGATAAGTGAGAAACCAACATTGGTAGTAAAAGCAACAATTAAGATTATGAACCAGAGTTAATCCCACTTAATGGCTTTATTGATGGTTAATACATAATTTATTCATGCTTTATAGTTATAAACAATTGATAACTTTTGGGTTGTCACATTGTGGAAAATCCTCCTCAAGCACATCTTTGCTTGTCTTTTCATTGTCTTAACTAATTCATTAGAGATATACATGTTACACTAAAAAGATGTTTCACAATAATCTATCAGAAGTTGTAGCCTACATTATGTCCAGCAGGCCATAATAGTTATATTATACATAATTAGCCTATTGTGAACTATGAACTCAAAGGGCCTGAAAAATCAACAAAGTTTCATGCTGGTGGAGTTTTTTTTTTTTTTTTTTTTTTTTTTACAACTTGGCAACCCAAAAGTTGCTCTTATTTACAAGTGATCTACAAAGCATACAATTATTTATTAACCGTTAATAAAGCCATTAATTACAGCTCATTGGGATACCCTTTACTCTAACCTTTTGTTGTTGTTTTAATTTCTTTATCTATTTAATTACTACTTAACACAGGTTATTCTTTTCATGAACGTATCCACTGGTTGTCTCGCGTCACATGGCAGCAGGGGGCAGCTCTTCACACCCGCAAACTGCACCACAGTTGACGGATTGAAAACACCCTGACATCCTGCTGAGCTCCGGTGCGTCTCCTCCGGGCTGTCACCGTCACCATTGTTCCCTACGTGGAACCGGAGAGCTGGACCATGCAGACATGCGGGTCTTCCTCTGAAGCACAGTCAGATATGCTGTCAGTAGGCTGGCAGTGGCCGCCATGTGGAGGCCACCTAAAGGACAACAGAATCCAGATAAATTAGATTATTGGATTGACTGCAACAGATTATAGCTCTCCTGCTTCCTCGATGCTTCATAAGAAAACCACATCAATTTGACTATATTTCACGCGGGGTTTTCAGGAATATAAAGGTAGGTATTTTACTTAACTGTACCATATTTTAGTTTTTTCTTGTACTGTGATTGTTTTGATCACCATAGCTCGTGCACTCTGGCAGCAGGCGCAAGGAGGTCGCTGCTTTCAGCTAAAACAAACAGGTTATTTAGTCTGTTTAGTGTAAAATTCTACAATTGACTTTTATTTGCCAATCATCTAAACTAAACTAAAGAGGAAAACATTCTGGCACTTGCCTCATTTGCTGCTTTAGACGACAGTGAGTGGCCTATTCAACTCGCTTTTATTGTCATTGAATGGATGGGGCCATGAGCTTCACCTGCGTTGCCAGGTAAAATAGGTTTTATCCCACTAAAATCAGCAACAAGCCTATTGTTGTTGGCCTTGACGAGCTACTGTTATTTCTTTTGTGAAAAGTTATTTTCCTTTTTGCTCAAATTGGTGTCAGATCATCATACATTATGTCGATGTTTTTGTCTAATCGATTCAGTTTTGCACAACATTTCTCAAATGACTCAAAATGTGTTTATTTTTGAATAAATTCCGTTGTGCAGAACATACTCTAATCACCTAATCAATCGACAAACTTTGGCTAAATTCCCAATAAATTATTATCTAATTTAAAGCTGTAGTGTTTTTCACTACTTCTGTCTAGATCTCTTGTCTTCTACAAAGCAACATCAAGACAGTGATGATTTATATGTCTAAAGGTGTGTGTCAAAAAATGCCATAACTCTAGTTCTTCCATGCTGCATTTTTTTTCCATGCAGTTCTTAAGAAAGCTGTTTGTCACAGGTAAATAGATACTATTCATTGATGAAATGATGGTATACTAACAAGGAAGTGCAGTAGCTAAGTCAAACATACTCTTAATTTTAATGTTCAGTGACAAATAATTTAGCAGGCCGGGATCTATCAACAGCGAAGCTACAGCCCTGTAGTTGTTTTTAATCTCCATGACAGTCTCTGCTCTGCTTTTCTGGGCATCAGTCCCTACTGTGATTGTGTCTGACACACATGAATCATTATATAACAGCCTCCTGCAGCCGCTGACAACAGAGGCCATGCAGAGAATGCAACAGGAAGCAGACTCACAGATAGGGGTGATGGCAGCAGTGCATCGTTCATGATGTCTGAATGGATGTCATTTCATGGAGGAACACCCACACAATTATGAGACATATCTCTGGGATATTGCTGAAGGATAAAACAATGCTTTCTATAAGTAACATTTTATTCAGTTAGTCGGGGCTCATGATCGGTTGTTGTCACTTCAGTCATTAAACCAGCCTGATAAGTGAGGACTGAATGGGAAGCTCTGAGGTGCTCTTAAACAAGGCATTTAACACTGCTCCAGTGGCCAACAGAGGAAACACTAGAAGTGCTTCCAGGTATTACTAGTTACTTCCAAGTGTGATTATACACCTTCAAAAGGTGCTACTTAAAAAGAGTCCCTGTTTGCGGAGCCCCCAGTTTTGTATGTCATGTGTTCTGGATTTGTAATGGTGGGGTTTGATAACTACTATCATAGATCTGTTGAAAGACAAGTGTATTCCACCCCACTGGATGAATTATGATGGGCAATATTACAAGTGGGACAAGCATTCATTGGACATTTTATGTGGTTGTGTTGGAGAGTCTTTTTCTCTGTGATTGGCCAGCCTGCAAGCATTTCTTAGCATCTTACCATAACAGCATCTCTGCTCCTGCTTCTCTGCTCCTGCATATTAAATAATATATGCAGACCTGAATAAAATGAGAGGGTGCTGAAAAACTGATGTATGACATTCATGTCAGAGCAGAGTCTCATTATACAACGCCATCTCTTTATTAGGGCACTGTCATAAAGAATCAGTCTGTTTTCAAGTTGATTATAATATTTGAAGCTTATGAGGGTATTACAGCACTTTAATAGTGAGAGGGAGTGGCTGGATGGATGAGAGCTTTTAGTGAAAGACAAAGGGTTTTCAACTGGTTTAGACCACATTAATAAATCATACATATTTAGTCATGCCAATGTTTTAAATCGGAAGGGAAACTATGAATCACAGTATCACTAAACAGTGTTAAACAGGACAGAAAAAAAAGAATTGCATATATAACAGGTCACACCTTGTGCCTGGTTAATGGATGCCTTTTGACGCAAGAGCAATATTAGAGATGAATGTGTCGTCCCCAGTGATATTAAAATGGCCTACTCGGCCTCCTTCAGTCAGTAAACACACAGCACTGCACAGCACTGCTGTTTGGATAGAGGATGTGCAAGTATAAGCAGAAAGGGCATGAGAATAGCCAGCAAAGCAGGAACGCTGTATTACATTGTGTCCATAATCCCCAGATGAAAGCAGTGGCTGATGGGCTGCAAGTATAGAAAAAGATGCAACAAATCACACAGAGGGTGAAACTGTTGCCGTACAGTGTTACTGTTTTCACCGAGAGATAGACAGATTGTGTTGTGTGGACAGGGAGTGTAATCCCCTCCAGCAGGGAGGGGAGCAACAGGAAGGTAGGATAATGCCACCAGCAGAGAGACTTGCAGACCCTGCCGGGCTGCTCTGCTGTTGTCATGGCTGGTAATCAACTAACAAGCATTATATGTAGTCTCATCCATTCCTTGGATATGAACCTGTCTAATTGTAAATTGGTCATTCTTTTTCAAAAGAAGCAGTTTGCAGTAGATGGTTGTTACAGGATAATTATTATCGAATCATTCTCGATGTGCACGTTTGGCATTTCTCCACAATTCTCACACATGAACACTTCTGTGACGAAGATTTGACTGACAGTGTGGCAGTGTGTGCTGCTGCAGAGTGATCACATGGCGGGCAGCTTTAACTCACAGAGCTATTACTGGCCCCCGTCTATAAATACCCCCAAAGGCCGCACTGAGGGACGATGCTGCTCCGTTACGTCTGACAGAAAGTCGCAAGGGTTTAAATTGTAATTAGACGCCAGATTGTAAAGGCACAACAACTTGTTTACCTCTCCGTGTGGTAAAGTTTCCCTGATGCACATTTGATGTAGAGACCTAAAGTTCTTCTGAATAATTACATGTACAAGAACAATGTGATGAATTATATATTGAGTGATGCTCTTTTTTTTAAGTTAGCGTACAGTGTACATAAATGTGCAGCTTTTATCTCAGCAACAGTGTTACCAGAGAACTGAAACGAAGACATGCACAATTTGAACTTTAAATATTCTTAGCAGGCTCTATCATACGTTAACCAACATATTCACAAATTCTGATATACATTACTATATGTTTTTGTTTTTTTTTACCATCTGTAGTGTTCATTTTTGATAAAGTTGGTGCGTTTGCTTTTCTTTAGGTTCTCTTCTCTTTTGTTTAATCTGAAGTAGCTTTAACTTTTAAAGTACATGTTTCATGTTGACTTCTTTTGATATGAAGCATTCAAGTTGCATTTTAAACATCACAAGTATTAAATAAATACATTTTTAGATATACTGTATCTGACAAAATAAATAAACATACACTTCACCTGATCTGTTGATGTGCAAATGTTTTCAAAACCTGATTTAAAGTTAATAATGAACAGAAATGGAGTTGATTCATTTAGTTCATCTCTCAGGCTCCACGTACGATATTTTACCAGCTGTTACCATCTTTATAGTCTATACAGCTTTAAGTTAAATAGAGCACTTGCTTGTAAGAGTGCGTCCTTTTATAATTTATGTGCCTTTGGTTTTCTGTGACCTTGTCTAACTCACGTTTGCAAGTTTGTGCTGACTTATGTGTGTTTTTACATGAATGTATTCCCTCCAGCCTGGCAGCCATGCTGACCAGCTTTATGGAAGGCCTTCTCTGCTGCCTGACCTCAAAGTCTGCCAACGTTGTGGTTCCCGTAGAAACCTCCGAACCTGCCGATGGCTACGAGTTTGTGGAGGTGAAACCAGGCCGTGTCCTGCGGGTTCGACATATCATTCCTGACCGGGCGGTGGTGGAGGAACCCACCGGGCAGGGTGGGAGCGTCAGCTGCAAACGAAAGATCACAGTATATCGTAATGGACAGCTATTCATTGAGAACCTGGGCGACAGGGCGAGTGCAGAGCTGAAAAACTGTCCGAATGGAGAGACAGAACCTAACAGCACTGTAGAGGTTGAACTTACAGACTGTGGTAACTCCTCACCGCCCGTCAGCATCCCTGAGGGTAGGTCAGACTCCATCACAGCTGGAAACAATGGAGCATCTCAAACAGGAGCAGGAGGAGAGGCACCTGCTGCTGGACAAACTGACCAGTCCCAGCAACCCAGGAAGCGCAGGCGGAAGCCCAAGCGTACGGTGGTGATTGATTGTGAGAGGAAGATATCATCCTGTAAAGGGACGCACACAGATGTGGCTCTGTTCTTCATCCATGGAGTAGGAGGCTCACTGGACATCTGGGGGAGCCAGTTGGACTTCTTTTCTCGGCTGGGCTATGAGGTGATCGCCCCGGACCTGGCAGGTCACGGAGCCAGCTCAGCACCACAGATAGCCGCAGCGTACACTTTCTATGCCCTGGCTGAGGATATGAGACTAATCTTCAAGAGATATGCGCGCAAGAGGAATATTCTCATAGGACATTCTTATGGGTAAATTTAAGATCACAGTACATTCTAATTAAAGGACCACAAAACAAATAGCTAGGATTAGCTTGTTTCTACCGGCCTGTCCTGTAACCAGCCTTCTGTTCTGCTTCCACAGTGTGTCGTTCTGCACGTTCCTGGCCCATGAGTATCCAGAGCAGATCCACAAGATGGTGATGATCAACGGAGGTGGTCCCACAGCTTTGGAGCCCAGCCTCTGCTCCATCTTCAACCTGCCCACCTGTGTGCTTCACTGCCTCTCCCCGCTGCTGGCCTGGAGCTTTCTCAAGTAAGACAGACTGCAACAGAACAGCAACAGAGACAAGATGACAACTTTTACCTGCCAAAATAGTTGCATTTTTCATTTTTCATTCAAAAATTATGATCCGTCTCCTGGCTGATCAAATGATTTAATGTAGAACTCACTAGATCGTCTAATTGATTGTTTTTTTACAAATACAGAATGGATATAGATAGAATGTAACTTAAAGCTGCCGCAGGTAACTTTCTTGGATTAGCATTAATTTAGAAGTGATGAAAATAAATAATTGAATTTGGTGGACAAAAAGGGTAAAAGCATGATAAACATGTTAGAAGACAGAGGCATCTTTGTGTTTTTGGCCACACACAGTACCAGATACTGTGTGTGTTTATTTCACCCACAGTTTGATGTCATCAGAATTTTTTTTTTTTTTTAGAAATTTGTAATTCAGGTAAATCTCCTCTGCTCTGTCCCCTGCAGGGCTGGATTTGCTCGGCAGGGTGCCAAGGAGAAACAGCTGCTGAAAGAGAACAATGCCTTCAACGTGTCGTCCTTTGTGCTGCGCGCCATGATGAGCGGGCAGTACTGGCCCGAGGGGGATGAGGTCTACCATGCTGAGCTCACAGTGCCCATCCTGCTGGTTCACGGCATGCACGACAAGTTTGTTCCTGTTGAAGAAGACCAGCGCATGGCAGAGGTAAAGGGGCTTCTTCAGCCCCCTGAGCTCCGGATCCAAACTGAGAAACTGACCCAACTAAAAACACTAATGTCTTAGAATGAGGCAGACATTTGGTTACAGTGGCCTGAGAGAATCAGATGGTCATAATTATAATAAGAAATTAACATCAAAACTGATCCAAGATATAATTTTATTTCCAGACGGTTTAGGCCCTGAAGAATCGTATAGGATAAGCTCCTCTCTTTCTCTGTTTACTTGTCTGTCTCCTGACAGATTCTCTTCTAAGACATTAACAACCACTGCTTTGGTCAACAGTTGTCAATAATAAAGTATAAAAGTGCCAGTTTATAAAAGTAAACCCCCCCCCCCATGGGTTAACACACTTACCACATGCATGCAAAGCATAATGTTCCTTTTTTTGAATCCAACAAGGGATTTTTGTTGCATGTAATTTCCCATCACCCTCTCTCTGTGTTTCCTTTCTGTCTCTTGACTGTAGAAAATTAAGTAAAGGAAAAAATGTCCCAAAAAAATGTAGCTACAGGGTTAAAACAATGAAAAACGACCTAGGCTTTAGGGGCTGCTGCGTAAAATCACAGAAGACAAAAGACTCCGGACTTGTTCCCTTTACTGAACAACTTAACATGCCTTCCTCTAAAATTATAGGGGTTCCTCCCAAACTGACTTGACAAGCCATACTAACTTAGAACTTAATTTCCTCCTGCTACATTAGTACCTCTGTGGCATGATAATTAGACAAAAATGTTTTTTTTCACTTTATTATACTATGTAAATGGCGGGGGAAAAATCAGAGATGTGGGCAGTGATTCAGAGGTCTGGCACCAAGCTGTTGCTTTGGCACAAAATATAAAGTGTTTTGTGTATGACTTGTGTATTAATTCAACTTCAGATCCTCCTATTGGCCTTCCTGAAGCTGCTGGAGGACGGCAGTCACATGGTCATGATGGAGTGTCCCGAGGCTGTCAACACACTCCTGCATGAGTTTATCCTCTGGGAGCCCGCCGCCCCTCCACCGCCAAAGAAAGAGTCCAAAGCACGACCAGAGACTGCCAAAGCCCAATCTGACGACACCAAGGCTTCGTCTGAGCCCGGCAAGGTCCGACCTGCAACTGCCAGGCAAACCTCATCAAACAGCGGCGCGGAGGAAAAGCCAGACAGCAAGGCCAAAAAATGACTGAAGATTAAAGCTGACTGAGATTAAAGCTGAAACTTCCAGTGGTTCTTACACTAAATCATGGCTGGCTGTGCACTTTGTATCACCTGGGGAACTGAGCTGGTTGGAGCTGTTGAGCCTGATGATGAAAGGAGCCAGTTTATCTGAAATGGTCCAGCTAAAGGTTGGACTTAATGGAAGTGCGACACTACAGGGAGCTCAAATCTGATTCCAGTTATGTCAGCTACAAAGCTGAAGGACAGAGGAAAAGGAGCTCCAATAATGTAATGAGACAAAGATGGTCTGTTCGTCAGTGCACGGCTCCCTGTCCCACATACAGCAGGGAACATATGGTTGTGCCTTGAAGTGGTGTGTGCTGATGATGTTAGGGTGGGCGAAGCAAGAGACGGGGTTTGGTAATATACAGCCATGAGGGCGAGGGTGAAAAAAAATAGTTATAGAAGCGGCAAACGTGGTTAAATTTGACATCTAAGGAGAAAGTCAAGACGTGTCTGCTGCTACACAGACCGGTAGATTTTTTAAAAGGATGACACTTGAATGCCTGGTCTGACTTCTGCCATTCCCAAAACTTGGAAAAGAAAATTAAAAAAAAACCAACTGGTTGGTGTGACACATGCTTTAGGTTGACTGCCTGTTTCGCTGCTCTGTGTAAAGCAACAGCAGAACCTAAACTTTATCAAAACTAGCGGGATGGTTAATAAGCCTCATGTATTCGTCTCCTTGAGGTTCAATATCAAAACTAAGTGACACACTTACCTAGCCGTGAAATGTTGATGTGTGTGTGTGTGTGTGTGTGTCAGGGGATGTTTCTCAGCTAGCTTTTCCATTGCACATAATGATAAATTGCACACCTCACCTTTTTAGGGATGAGTTTTAAAATGACAAAATGACGAAATTTTCATGTCACAGAAAATAGCATTGAAAACTAATGCAGACATTTATTGATTATTTTATTTTATTTTTAAATTCTTCAACACCTGTTAGAAGTGAGCCAGGAGCATTAGAAGCTTACAAGATGTAAGTAGCCTTACATCCGACTCATTGTAGGGATTTACGTAGCTGCCACTAGTAACAGAGCAAACAGGAACGGGTGTTTTTTTTGTTTGTTTTGTTTTTTGTGGGTGATTACGTTGTGACTTGTCAAGCTGAAAAAGTAAAAAATGATCAGGCACTGATGAGGACGGAAGTGAAAGTAAATGTGCTACTTCCTAGAATTCAGGGAAATGTGTGTTCAGTGAAGTGTAGCCCTGCTAAATTTAGCAGTAGTTGAGGCTCAGCAATGAATCATAACTTTATGTGAACAGAATGAGCCAAAGATTTTGCACAAATCAAATGTACATAGTGAGGTTTGTATTGCGATGCATCAGGGATGTGCGAAAGCAGGATTTAAAAGTCCACATGAACTGCACCCAAGCTGACACTACACAGTATATTCAAAAACATTCACTATTTTTTTAATCTAGCCATGTGCTTTAATATTTTTGATAATTAATATCCCCACTACAACAAGAGTTCACTGACACCTATTAACTTTGCAGTGTTAGAGAGAACTTGTTTTAATGGTTCCTATAGCTCCCACAGAGAATATCATGTATGCAGCAATATACCATAATTATTTGATAAACCCAGGAAATAGTCCGTCTAAAGATTTGCCCTCATAATAAATTTTTGATTTGTATGTGAATGATGAACTTCACTAAACTGCAATGATCTTTTTTACCTTGAGAAGTAGTAAGTGTAGTAAATATATTAGTCTATGAGTATGAAAACTGTATTTTGTTACATCTCTAAGTATTGTTGAGTCCAGCATTTGCACATGAGAGGCCAAGAGTTAGGCTGAGGAGAAGTGTCCCCATGCAGTACATTGACTGCATCCATGTATCATAACACTCTGTATCTATTCACAGTTTATTATGAACATCTGTGACTGTTTTTTCGACCACTGCAAAAGCGCGTGTATGTCTTTAGATGAGCTGACATGCTCTCAGTACTTCAGTGGTTCAGGTATTTGTAACATTTACAAAACTTCTCTGAGCCTCCAACATAGAAAACTCAGAAGATGTGGATGAAGCACAGATTTCATTTTCTTCTCTTAGTTCATTGTATTTGATGGTTTTTTTTTTTTATACATAGAATGTACTTTTTATACATTGTACTTTGATTTGTGATGGATATTTAGATTGACAAGAAACTGTAGCAGGGAATTCACTGAGCTCTGACCAGAGAAATGCAACAGGCTGTTAGCTTGTGACTTTCCTGAACTGAAGAAAACTGTCCATTTTATATCGTGTGTGTCTTAAATTTTGTAACTGTTTGCCTTTGACAATGATTACATAAACAAACTGCTGATTTAGAAATGTTCAATTTATCAGAGTAAATTATTATATGTTGTGAATTTTCAATAGTTTTGCTGTGTGTGTGTGTTTTTTTTATACCTTCTTCTAGTGACTGTTCTTAGGGGGTTTGCTGAATGTGAACCCTATTTTTCAGAAACAGCCTTCTTGACACAGGGAATAGTAAGTTATTCTCTAAGTCCCTCAGATATTTCTTGGTGAATGCGTCAGACAGGAAACTCTTTTTCCTCTCCTTTATAAACTTTAGGTTACAGTCATGTCTTCTGATGAGCACAGATGTGAATTGAGAGTAAAATGTTGCTGATGATTAAGACCCAGTTTAGTCATCAAAGTAAAATACAGAACACAAATTGTTGCTTCACAGCCCCTGAAAATACAAGCTTAGTTTCACATCTTTCAGATCTCACATTTCCCTATGACAATAATTATTCATAAGAAAAAAACCTTTGGGTGTTACTCATTAAGAGTTATACGCTTAAACTCTATTTTTAGAGCAGTTAAATGTATTATTGACTTATGATATGTAACTCAAGCTTAATAAAGTTAATCTACGATGAGAAGCAAAACTTCAAAATGACAATGGTTAATAACTAAGTACTCTGCATAAATAAGACTTATTGTAAGCTTCTTTTAATGAAACAACAGTATTACATCACAAATATTTGAACTTAACAACTAAATTATTCAGATATACCAGATATATATAATGTATTTAAATGATAATATAGCATCTGTTTATTCAGCAGGAACAACACTGAACAACTCAAACTCAACATGCACTGATAGTGAGATACAAAACAACAACTTACCTAATGTACTGTATATTTAAAATTTAGTTCTTAGATATCACTTGATATACAGTAAATCCAAGGCCTCAAGTTTGATGACAGCATTTCTAGTAAACTTTGCTCATAGAGATGATTGTTTGCATCCCTACACATGACCTACTAAAATATTTATAACTTAGATTAAATCATATTTTTGGAAATTGACATTAAAACATTTGATCAAATTCTTTAGCATGTCTCAACGAGATCCACACACTGTATTAAAGCTTTACAATTTTTATACATTCTTAAAGAAAGTAAAAGAAAGCATTCAACCGAAGCACTTATTCCCAAACCTAAAAGGCACAGCCATGCACCTGCCACCTCTCTCAGACCTCCACGGGGACTGTGGGACCGTTGCTGGTGTCCTCCAGTGGCGTTGTCTCTGTGGGAGCGCCGGACTCTTTCTCAGGCTCCTCTTTTTTATCTTCCTTCCCTCCATCGGCCACCAGAGAGATGATCTCTGCCGCCCCCTGCTGTTCGTTGCTGGTAGTGCTGGCCAGCTGCTCAGCCTTCTCCTCAGCTGGCTGCTCTGCTGCTTTGGTTTCATTGACAATCTGAACGGAGTCAGCTGCAGAGGCCTGTACTGCTTTCACTTCCCCATTCTGGACAGGGAAGACCCCCTCCAGAGCGTCATACAAGAACTGGTACTGCTCCTGTGAGTGACACAGACAGATTTGAGTGGAAACATGAAGATATGGTGCATCGCTGTAGGTTTTAATCTGAACAAAGCTTTCTTTTTAGACTTTAAGTTCACATTTTCACACACTTTCCAAAATCAACATAAATAAGAGCACAAGAAAACAGCTTTAAATGATAAATAATAATTAAAAACAAACACCAATCTGATCCTACTGTTAGTAATATCTGTGTAGCCAAACCCTGATCCTGACCCCTCTGAGACATAGACCTCCAGAAGCTATTGAGCCACACTGGGTGACATCTTCCTTCATTATGAACAAGGACACTGTAATTTATTTTGAGTCAATCACACATAGGCCCTCCTGCTTCTGTAAACGCACTAAAGCATAAAACCTAAAGCCTAAAATAGTCCAGAAAAGATGTCTGTTTGAGTGTACTGCTTATTTATCTGATTTTAAAAATTAAGGTATATGTAAATAACTTTTTTTTAAATAGATTTATATCTTCAGTAGAAACTTATGGGCTTATGTCCGAGAGCCACACACAGGGAAGTCAGAAAGTCCTGGGGGATCATGGACTACTGCATTGTTGGTTTTGGTTCTTTCGTGGGCTTTGTTGACAATGACAGAAATGTAGAAAATCATAAGCCTTTGTCTTTAATTCTTTAAAAACACTATTATAAGCAAAGAAACTGAACTGAAGTGGAGAGATGATTTTTTTTATAGCATTCAAAGTGAGCTAGAGTAAGACTTAAGTGCGGTGCTGCTCACATGAATTGACATTAACAACATATTAAGAAACCTTTATCTCTTGCTAAAAAATAACCACAATAAGCCTATAGACAGATACAAGGAGTTACATAAAATCTAATTACAACAACCTTTACGGAACATCATCTGTCCATTCTTAACAGTCAGCTGCTATAATTCTTCTCCCTCTGAGCGATGTTGGAACTTAAAGCAGTGAAACAATGTGTGATGACAGATACTGAGCTCGTCTTTCTTACCAGACTGGTGAGCATGCTCTGTCTCTCCTTGCGTAAGATTTTGACCACCTGGAAAACATCCACCAGCTTCTCAGTCTGAGCGCTGTCCAGCAGGTTCCACAGAGCGCAGAAAATCCCTGTACGGGACGAGCCATTGCTGCAGAGAGGGAGCACACAAACACAAAATCTCTCTAACTACACATTTTGAGTGAGCTGCAGAACAACCGAGGATACAGTAGTACAGGGCCTGTATTTATAAAACTGCTAAAAGTGACTTTTGACAGCAAAATTTCTTTACTGTTCAAATCAGGTTTTCTTTTGTTTCCATATTGTTATTACTACCATCTCTACTAAAAAAAATATATGATATTGCCGTTATTAATTGCTTCACACACATAAAATAAGCTTAGCATATGCTTATTATTTATTGGTCATAGTGAGCAAATACAGATTTTACTCCTAAACCTCTTCAGAGTATTCTCACTCTAATTCTTTTAGAGATTATTCTTAATGCCGCCCAGAGGGGAGTCAAATGCATGTCTTCCTTGTAATAAGGTGACACTACAAACTACTGAGTGCTACTCTGATTAAACATATTTTCAGTGAGAAATTTACCCTTAATTCATAAGGTAAATCATTGTTAATTTATTGATGATACCTGACAGTATTTCTTTCTATATACTTTCATTTCAGAAAGGTATGCCTTCGTGTAGCTTGAAATTTCATCAAATGACCAATGATGTTTATCAAGCTCCGGTAGGTGAGGAGTTTTCTTTCTTCCAAACAAGAACACCGGCCCAACATTGAGCTTTGAAAGCTCTGAAAGACGAATCATTCTAATGAAAAAACTGGATATGTTTCTGTTCTACACATGCTGTCGCTGTAAGACTCCCAGAGGACATTTTACTGTGACGCTGTCTTACTTGCAGTGGACCACGGTGATCTGTGATTTGCTGCTCGTCTTGATTTCCTTCACCATGTCTGTGAGTTCGTGAGGTTTCTCCGGCAGCTCTCTATTCACCCACTTCAGGAACTGGAACTGTTTCACCGAGCGACTGTCTTTCCTCTGTTGACAAAAGTGGAGTTTGGATTAAAGCAGCTTGTGATGTTGAAATGACCAGTCACGCCACAGGCTGAGGCTGACAACATACGGAAACAGAGTAGGTGGCTCTTGTGTTACCTTGACGTGACGGATTAGCATGTCACGGCTAATGAAAGTTGGGGTGGTGTCTGTGCTCACAACCTCAACCTCAAAGTCCCCAAATGTCTTCTTGTCTTTACCCCAGTACACACAGTCAGACTCCTGTGAACACAAGAAAAAACAGCTGTATTAACCCTTTACTCTGTGTACCAAGGGAACGCATCTGTGTAGTATTCCATATGTAAGGCACATACAGTACAGTGTTATACTATATCATTATATGTGCATGGTACATGGTACTGTAGGTACCTGATCTCCCTCATTGCAGTCTGAGAGCATGACAATAGTGGATGCTTTCTTCTGGTAAACCATCAACCAGAAGTCAGCCATGGAGTCTGGCAGTGGAGTCTGAGCTGCGATGAAGGCACGTGGGCCCCAGTAGCCCTGTGGGGGTCAAGAACACACATCCATCCATTGTTTTGCGTAGTCCAGACAAATAAGATGCGAGGAATTTAATTACACCTGTTTTATGACTCAACTTACTGTATAAAAGATGGGAATTAGTTTTGGGTTAATGAGATAACACCTGCCACAGGAACACGGCTTTAATCCAATTAAAGTGTCAGCAAAATAACATACGTGAATGTAGGAGGCATTGATGTATTTCGTGGATTCTTCGTCCTCTTCATCTGATGACTCTTCCTCATCTTCCTCATCAGGGTCACTATCATGACTGCGTCCTTCGTCCAGCTTCAGCAACACTCGGTTGTAGTCATCTGAGGGTGGGAGGTTTGATTTGGTTTCGACAAAAGTGACATTGAACGCATTTACTCTGGTATATGAATGCATGTATATAAACATACTGCACATACACCAATATACTGTGGCTGCTGGTTCTGTAGTGTAAAATGTCATTTGTCCCTGCGTTGAGCTGATACTTACATGGGATGACAGATAAAGAGCGATTCTTCTTCTTGTTTTCCTCTGTGATCCCTGTGTTGGATGTCCTCCAGTTTTTAAAAGATGGGAGTCGCTGAATTGTGAGAAAAAATACGATTCTTTATTATTAAGTAATTTATAGTAATATATAAAGGATTGGATTTTGTCCTTTATGAAGTAATGAGAGGTGAGAAGGAAAATGGAAAAGTGTAGGATATTTTATTTGAAATAAGTTTTAAAGGGATCTGCTACAATTTCATACACATCAGTGATTCGCTTTGGTTACATCAAACAGTAAACTTTATTTAAAATGCTTCCTTCAGCCTCCAAAATGAATTTATTTTTAGATAAAGAAATAATTCATAAATAATAAGATAAATAAGAAAGTGACATACATCAAACTCATCTTCCATTAGCGTGGGTTCACTGCCTTGGTTTTCCTGTTTGAGTGTGCTCAGTGTGCTGTGGAGCTCAGACAGAGCGATCTCAGTCTCTCCAAACTGGTTGTGCTCCACCAGAGCCTGATGAATCAGGATGTACTGGGCCTATGTGAGGACAAATGTACTTAATAAATAAAGTATATATAATTTAGGGATAAAATAAGAACACAAAAGACAAACTGCACAAGCTGCACAATCCATATTTTGGATTTCTCCAAGGTTACTTTTTTTTTTTCTAACTCATTTACAGCTTGTTATCTCTGCATTCTCCTTTGTGAATGGTTTAGATTCAATGCAGGAAACAATGCATGCTCTATTAACCTCTTCAGTGTTTAGTGCACATGTCAGTTAATAATTCAATTTCTTTATTCTGTCTTTAATTAATGAATTAATAACTGAATTTTAACTGGAATCAAATAAATAATTTTATAAAGGCCTTTACAATTTCCTTTTTGTTACTATGCTTGTGTGTCTACCTGTCACACTCAAACTGCAATCATTTTTTTCCCTGCCTGACCTTTTATATATTTATACTGTACATTCTGTCAGTCTTTATTAAAATGCTCTTTGCATTGCCATGCACTCTTGCTCTGTTTGTATTGTATTTTATGTTGTAGTTACCAGCAGAACACAATCTTGCAAATGCAGTGTACAATTACAATTTCAGCTCTATATACAGTATTCACTGTATGCTTGTTTGTCTACCTCTTGTTCATTTTTATTCCTATTTGTTCACCTATTAGTTGTAAAGAATAACTGTATATCATCCTTGTGTAATATGTTTGTACTTCTTTGTTTACCTGTATGTTCATGTTAGTTAGATTTTTGCTGAGCACATTTAAAACTACAAAGAGTTTGGTCTAATTCCCTGCATGTATCAACATACTTGGCCTATAAATGTAACTATGATTCTAATAAGACACACATTCAAACAGATGCACACACAAACACAAACACACATGCAGAGTTTCAAAAATTAGATCTAAATCAATATTTTACCTCTACTTGAACCATGAGACATCTCTGTCTGCGGAGTCTGACTACGTAACCGTAGATGTCCACTCTGCCCTCTGCCTCCAGACCCTCCATCATGGCATCAATGCCAATGTAGGTACCTGTCCTACCCACTCCAGCACTACACATGACAGAATGACTTTGTGTTAATACATTTGGTCTGGTAGCCACAAGGGGCAAGTTCAGAGACACAAACAGAAGGGTCTTAGACTATCTGATGGGAATTAACTTAAAAACTTCATAGACATCTGAAACTTGTGACAACAGCCACTGCTTTAATCTTTCAGAATGTATTTTATAAGCTTGTCATATGTTTTTTAAATCTTATTATGAAAAGTATATATTAGCTATCTATTAGGTAAATGTAGCTGAGTTTAAAGTAAATAAAAGTAAAGTAGAAGTACATCAAAATGATGTGTAAGTGCAGTACTTAAGTAAATGTGTGTAGTTACTTTCTACCACTGCATGTTGCTCATGTTGATATTTTGAAGTGAACATTAGCCGACCCTAGAATGGGACCTTGTGTATACCTGCAGTGGACGACGATGGGGCCACTGAAGAAATTCTTGAAAGCATTGACACGCCGCCTCAGTTTCAGGAGGAGGTGCGGCTCCCCTGGGACGCCGTGGTCTGGCCAGCTCATGAACTGGATGTGGGTCACCTCCCTCTCTATGCTCTTCTCCCTCTTCTGCAGACATGGCCACACACACAGAGATGTTTATATAAACATGCACAAAGACTCATATAAAAACATACACATCTATTGATATTTAATCAAGTATATTTATTGAGATAAAGCTGGATAGAAATGCTGGCCTTAACTACACAAACACATGCATACACACACACACACCAAATTTGTGCATGTGTTCTGCAGTAAAAACGCACATTTACACCATTTAATCTATTCGATTTTTAATTGAGACTCACATTAATTAGGCTGAGATGGCGGATGGTGTAATCCGGGCAGTGGTCCTCTGAGTTCAGCTTCACTATAAACTCATCAAAGATCTCTGTCTCTCGGTCTGGAGACGGCCAGTACTGCGCACACTTGACCTGTGACACAACATGTGGAGACGAGAGACAGTGAGTGAAAACCTTTTTTTAGCTAAACTTAACTTTAACCCAAAAGTCAAATATGCAGACAATGCATATTTGACACAGACAGCAAATAGTGACACGTTATAACCAACGTCAAAAAAAGGAAAAAAAAACTGCTGTAATTACCCTGTTTCCCTCTTCACAGCGTGTTACCATGACGATGATAGACGACTGCTGCTCCCAGACCATCCTCCAGAAGTCACCCACAGTCTCATCCTTCGGCCCTACAACACACACAAAATATACAGTATATATACAGACAGCCATGCACACTTTGTATCGACAGGAATGCAGGGGTACTGACAGAGTGTATAAAAGAATATGAGAACACGACTTTACCTTGAGCTGCAATGTACTTTTTGGCTTCCTTGTACCCCTGCAGTAAGAAAACAAGCAGGGGTGTATTGTCAGAAAGAGGTCATGAACGTTGTGTCTATTAAGCCCCAAGAGTTGCCTTTAACATGACTGCTTTTGCTTTTAATGAGATATTTCATATTCGTTTCATGATCTAAAGCTCAAATTTATCCTTATTCTTAAACACAGCAGCAGCAGCGTTAATAGGAAAAGTAGTGCGATCTTGGTGTTTTCCATACATCAATGAAGCTGGCGTTGATGTAGTCACATCCTGCCTCGCCATTTCCTGTGGTCAGCTGGACACGGTTATAATCATCTGGTTCAAGACAGAGGAGACACGCAGAGAAGTCATATTAGATGTGGGTGATATTGTTAAAACCTTTTTCACAGTGTGTATAATTTTGTGAAATTTGATGAATTTTCTGAAATTTCAGCGACGAAGCTGTTATGGATATAAAATGTGAAATTTCATACCTAAATTTCAGGTTATATCTCACTTTGATGTGAAAATCCTATGAGTCCAGTATTGCCACAAAACAATCAAAGGCAGATTTTCAGCATTTCTCACAGTGATTTGAAACCAATCCAGAGATATTAAAAGCAAAATAGCTACCACATTAGATACAGCATGGAAAATCCATGATGGCTGACAAATTGACACTGCCATAGTTACATTGTATTATACTAACTGATGGTGATTTTAAAAAACAAAGAGTGGATAAAAGTACACACATCTGCTTAGTTCCTTTATCTCATTTATCTGAAAAGCTTCATGTGTTGTTGGACACACTCCCACTCACATGGCAAGATGTCCACGTAGCGGTTCTTGGGGGTATTGCATGGCTTTTTGGCCTCTTTCACCGTGAACCTCGAGAAAATTCTGGGGATGCTCTGAAAGCAGAAATGAATGATGTCAATTCCCAGTGAGAAAAAAACAACACAGAGCAATTGTATGTGTTCCAGTCCCACTCTTTCTACTCTGAAACCAGCCAAGGCCCCTCACAAGCACATCCAGCCTCCTGTGTTCAAGTCCAGCCTTGGACATTTATTACACGTCATGTCCCTGTCTGCCAACTCATTGTAAACCATCCAATGAAGAAAAACATACCAAAAATAAGCATTCCCAAAAAAGGAACACAGATACCTGAAACTCAGCCAGGAAAAGTCTTCCCTCATCAGCGAGCTTCCTCTTGTAGGCCTCCAGCAGAACCTCTGCTGTGATCGGCTCGACGGGCATCAGGTTCTCCTCATCATCTACAGCAGCCAATGAAAAACACTTAAGACACAAACTAGATACTCTGCAAAGCCTTGTTTTCTATTATCAATATTATCATCCATTACCCTAGTTATTGTAAATATTTATATATTTAATTAATGAGGTATGTCTCTTGAAAGGTGCTTCTGCATTATCTAACAAGGAATATATTTCTGATCTGATTATTAGAAAAATCATGAATTGAAAATGGTAGCTGACTTCTAAAATCATCTGCTTCAAGATAACAACAGGAAGAAAAAAAAGACAGGAAATCGAAAGTCTGCTACTAAAATCTACTCACTTGCTGTTGAAATAAGCATCATGTTTTCACTCAGGTCACTGAAAAGAAACCATTTAAATTATATGTAATACAGAATGGAATAACGTTGTTTGACAGTAATGATGTGTCTGTCTAAAATGCATTTCAAATGCAGTAACAATAATATTCCTGTAGTGTAAATGAGATGACATTGCCTTTTCAGTAGCACAAAACCTGCAGGTTTATTTGTACAAAACAAAGCAATAACAGAAACCAAGTGATTCAGGAGATTAGCTGTATGTAGAATGATTCTTACTGGGACTTTCTGCGCCTCAAAATGTAGATTTTATAGACGACCAAGAGCAGAGCCAAAGACGTGAGGATGATGAGAAACACGAGAAAACCGATGACAGCTTTGTCATTATCTGTAAAATGATAATAAAAGAATATCAAAGAGGTGGCATCTATGTTAAGGACACAATGTACAGAAATGGATATGTGAACAATAGGTCAGAACAAAATGAGTGAAATGATTTAACCAAACAACATGAGATAATTTGTGGTGTTAATTAAAACAGTACATACAGAAAGTAGAAACTTCCTTTGTCTTGGGCCTGCTCTCCAATTCTGTGTTGAAAGCAATGACCTGGAAAGACAGAGAATCCCTTCATCAGGTTCTACAGAATCTGGAGGAATATGAAGAGTAAAGTGACCATATTCTAATGAAACTAAAAAATAGGATCATACAAACCTTCACTGTGTAGGTCGTAGAGTAACTCAGGTCTCTGAATTCAAACTTGCATTCTTTCTCTTTAAGTTCCTTCACAATGACACCACCATGATGAAGTTCTGCTCTGTATCTCTGTTTGCCTTCAGGACCGTTTAATTTTCCTGAATAAATACAGGTTACTATAATCACATTATGCTCTGGCTGTGACGTCCTCAGGTCTTTAATATCGTCTGGTACTGTAAGAAAAATGAAGAAAAACACACTTATCTTCAGAAGCATAGTCACCGTTAAAGTGATTTTAATTTGCTCTAACAGCAGTTTTAACAGTTATCAACAATATTATTGTTAATATCAGAGTGTTGCTGTACTGGTTGTCTTGTGCATCAGGATGTTTTAGATGTTGATATATTTTTAATGTCATTATGTAAAGACAGCATATGAAATCAATTATTTGGCAAATTTGCTGATGCTTATCTATTGTTGTTTTTTTAATACATCCTTTAACATGAATGGTTATTTAATCAATCAATGGATGTCTTTTAAATGATCAATGTACCACTTGGTAAAGATTTTACACCAAGAAAGTCAGTAATTACTCTGGCTCCACACTACAGGCTCTTCCACTTACAGTGATGAATAAACAGGTGCAGGTACCTTTTAATCTTCACTGTCATGGTTTGGAGTGTGTAATGGATACATTTTCCTTTACATAATGAATGTTGGTATTTGTCTGTGCGAATTATTTGCTCTCTGATCAGCAACATTTATTAAAAAGGACAAACAGAAAGAAAAATCTTATAATTGTAATTTTTATAATGATAAATACAAAAAACTCATTTCAAATAATAATTAATATAATTAAGTTAAATAATAACTAAATAATTAATAACAGTAAATATTGTGTTGAAGTTCCAAATTCAAATATTCATGTAGGGACCATATTTCCTGAACGAGGTGTTTTAAAGTCATAGTACGTCACATGGGATCAGTTTTCTCCCCAAATACTGAAACAGTTTCAAAGCTGTTTGGTCTTAAGAAAGTGTTTCATACAGATACTCTTACTGCCACATGAGTAACTCAATATTCAACATGTATGTGCAGCACAGACTGTCAGTGAATATAGTCCAAATATTCTTCTTGTGTCATAGATTTAGATCATAGAATCAGCTGTGATCATTTTTCATTGGTTACTTACTTCCAGCCTCAGTCACTTGTGTCACTGGAGTTTGTTTAGCATCTCTCTCTGTGTTGTTGTAGATGGGTTTGACTCCACAGGTGTATGTGGTGAATGGTTCCAGTCCAGAAACAAGACATGTTCCTCCTGATGGTTTAGCTTTACCTGTGAGTTAAAGTTTCACAAGCTGTTAGTTTGTTTTGTTGAATAGCAACACAACAGAGACAAAATTAAGGGTGTACACAACAGCTGATTGTTTTTGCACTTTAAGTGTCCAGAGAATGGATGTCAATCAATCAGTTAATATCATCAATGCATCACTGGTAGATCACCAGCTTTGGCCCTGCAAGCTAAAACTATTGTCCACATTATGTGCTAGTAGGAAAGCAGACTGGGACAATAAACATGTGAAAACTGAAAACCTTTGTTTCCAGTGGTTTAATACAATCACAGTGTTATTTCTGTGTCATATTTCATGTTGATTTTGTGAAACTTTGTTTTTTCTTATTTACACCTACTAACACTCAGGATGCTGAAGGGTTAGCATGGAGCGCTGTAGCTCCAACAATGACTCAAATGTCCACAGTATATTTTACTATTTAGATAAACTGAATAGAAAAAGGATCTCCAACAACTTCCAGAAATGAATTCCTGTTAAAAGAATTAAAAACTTTAGAGAGTTAATCTGAATAATTTTACTTACTCCTGTGTGTCTGATGGGAGGGAGTAGGACCACAGCTGCAGTCGTATGAAAGCTTATCAAGCTCATGAAGGACTTCTTGACACTTGTCACTGGTTGTGCTCCAACTCAAGCCAATAGACGTATTGGTTACTCTGTTCTTTGTGGCGATTATGTTAAAATCTGTTGGAACATCAGACATCTGTAACAGACTTGAGTTCTGGTGCTACACAGTAATTCACTCCACAGTATCTGAGGATAAAAGCTTTCATTGCACTGAGGTGAAGTGAACATCAACATACCACAGTCAATCCTGACGTCAACAGCAGTTGTGTTTTTAATGGTGACATTGTTGTCCTTGATCTGACCAATACAGCTGTAGTTAGTAAACGGCTCCAGCTGCGACCCCAGCTTAGGCTCAGTGACTCCGCCACTCTCTGAGGAGACACGAGGATGACAGCATTTCTTCAACAACTAGTATTTATACCTCAGAGCTCATGTAGCAGCATCTTTTCAGATTAAATCGAATTTTGACTCATTCAGAAAAATATAAAAAAATCTTCTTTTTAGAACTGATTCACTGAGAGCACAAAGTAATACTTCACCTTCCCCCTTCACTGACAGACAATTCATATATCTTAAGTTTTAATTAAAACAGGGAATTGCAGAGTCAAATCTCTATCTATTTCCATGTAAATCCATTTATAATATTAGTAACACACAAAGTCTTTTTACTTGTAGTCTTTTCACTTACCCCTGCAGGTGTAATCAACAGAGAGATTTTTACAGTTTGGAGGTAATTTTGTTTCTATTTTCACTGGAAGTTTAGTGGAAACATTCTGATGTATTTCACTTGCGTTTAAGAAATCTGTGGAAAAAAAAGAATGCACATAAAAATGATGAAATTAAATCTAAAGCACATGCATTTCAAATAAAGGCAGACTCTTTTATACATACCAACAGGGATGAAGCTTTTGGTGAGGCTAAAAGAAGTGTTCGGACACTTTTCTGATGTGAACTTTGTAGTAAAATCTGAACAAATGTCATTGTAACCAGGTTTGACACAGAATGTTTTATTGTCACATCGCACAGCATTTGTGGTTGATAGTAAAGAGCTGATGTCCCAATCACTCCGGTAACAAACACGTCCAGGGATGCAGCTGACATCTTCAATGTCATCTTTACCTGAAATACACAAGTGATGCACAAATGTCTCTCCATTTTACACACAGTCTCATTTCTTCAATGAAAAGAAAGCGAGTTGCATGACACCAACATGAATTATTTTTACTCACTTATGTCAGTCGTTTTAGTTTTATTTTCAGTGTGGCTACAGTGTTTTTCACCAGCACCATCAAGATGTGTCACATAATGCTCATATTCAGTGCAGGGCTTCAGGTGTTTGATTTCATGTGATGAGCTTTGACTGGACTGATGGACGGTGATGTGTTTTCCAGTGTCTGGTCGGCCTTCTTCATTAATGTTTATGGTGTAGTTACGAGGGGTAGAGCTTTTAATGTCAATCTGGAAGCCAAACTTGATGGGTGTTACAGTGTAGGAACCTGCAGACATCAACAGAGTTAAGAAAATATGTTAGTTATGCGTAATACTGTAAAACACTGTAAAAACAAACTGTCACTACATTCATTGTAAAGTAAAAGAGGAACACAGACTCTGGATACCAATATAATTACTGCAAGTGTTTGAAAACATACTGTAAACTGGATTATCTTTCAAACTGATACTCACAGGCTGCAGGTGGGGAGGTCAGAGGATGCATTTCAAGGAAATTAGAAAAGAGTAAAACGAAACATTAATATATGATTATGCGACATGAGTCATTTGAAACACTTTTCCAAAGCATCTTGCAAGTACAGCAAGTACCTTTGATCTCTGAGTGACGAGTAACCCATACCTCAGCCGTGCTAATGCCATTGTCCACTGTCTACACTCATATGAATAAGACAATCTCATCATACCCCTGTATAATAAATGAGAAGATTCCAACCTTGCGTGGTAGAAGGCACTGTGGTGGTGGGCAGGGTGACTGCAGGTGAGGACTGGTTTTGAGAGACTGCTTGGATGCTGGTTTTGGGTGTGGGAGTAGGAGTAGTGGCTGCAGGAGGGAGAGCATGCTGGAAGTCATCTTCAGATAGAAATACTTCACTGCCAATAGTCTTACCTGACATGATGCTTAACTATACCATTTCAGGATTTTATCATGTAGCACAAACATGGCTGTATACAGGCTGAATACATTACCAGACGTGGTAGTTGAATTGTACGTCTGATTTGAGGGGAGTGAGTTAGGGGTTGGCAAGGTGAGTGGAGGTTTGAGGTCGGTTGTTTGGGTGCCTGATGTCATGGTGTGTGGAGGTGAGGAGGTGACAGATTCGTTGTTTACTGAAGGTATGCGTGGAGGTGAGCTGGATGAAACATCTGCGTTCCAAGAAAAAAAATAAATCAGGGCAAACACGGTATCACAATACTAGTTCCTATAACATCATAAATCCTGCTTCCTCTTGTGATAAAGGTAGTGTTGCTACTTATTTTTCCTTCTCCTCATTTACATCTACTACACATCTGTTTTCAAAAGCAAAAAGGAAAAGGAGTGATAAAAAAATGATAGCACTGGGGAAGAGGAGATCTGTACTTAGAGGAAGTAAGGCAGTGTTCAGCTGCATGGGTTCAGTAGGCCTCAACAGCTAGTGGAAACTAATCAGGTTGAGCATTAGTTGTGAGTTCAAATATTTCCTGTTTTTTGACTGAAGGCTGTCTCTCTTTGGAAAAACACTGCAAGATTATCTAAAGGTTGCCAACCTCATCAGGAGTATGGCAACAGTGGTAGAGTGCTGGGATGACCTGTCTTCGTTTCTTCACAGAGTAAATTTGAGTCAATATATAAACTAATCATTGACTAAACAATAGAAAACATAAATTATTTATAAATAAACCAGAGTGGTTGAACATTGAAAGACAAGTCTGACCTCAACTCTCTATAGCGTTCACACAAAAACAAGTTTCTATAGTTTTCTCATAGAAATAAACTGTGAAGTTAAACTTTCAAACCAGGATAAGTGGAAAACATGGAAACAAGTCAACGTCATGTTCAAACAGATTCTTTTTCTTGTCACTAATGATTGCAGTGAACCAATGAATAGAAACTATCAGGGTTCATGTTTAACTGGCTGGATAATCAGTGACTTACTTGTTCCAATGATGCAAAGCCCTTGCAAAACCTGACTCATCTAAACCCTAACATCAGTCCATGGGACTACTGCTCTTTTCAATTCTGATCCCGTATGTGTGAACTAGAGATTTCCCTAAATGAGTATTGTTGAATGCATCTAAATACCATTGGAACACATCTAAGTTACAACAATACAACTTGATGTATAACCTGGAAAGCTGTTGAGAAAGGAGCAAATCACATAGCCAGAAGAGTCTGGCTGCGTTCTTAGCTCAGACTCACTTTGCAGGCACTTCAGACACACAGGAGGCAAATACAGTTCATTGTGTGTATGTGTGTGCAAGTAACCAGTAATCATTATATAACTTAATAAATGTATTATGTATAAACTCTATGTACCCTGGCAGGAATATTTTCCTGTGATTTGTGGGTCTAATTTTGGAAAGAAATACAATTGTAAATAGTTTTGTAATCAACGGTGTGTAGTTTGAGGGTAACTGTGGGCAAACGTCATGTTAGGGAATGTTGCAGTACATGAACATCATTTTCACATTTGTAATCAACGGTGTGTAGTTTGAGGGTAACTGTGGGCAAACGTCATGTTAGGGAATGTTGCGGTACATGAACATCATTTTCACATGTATATCATGTGACTCATCAAGCTATTAAGTTTACTGTGGAATTCTTTCTCTGTGTTTGCAATTAAAGCCTTGATTGAAACAGTTTAATTAAATGGAGATGTCAATCGAACTGTTGAATAAGAGTGAGAATAGATATTTCTGTCACTCCTTGCTGCTGTGGCTATGGAGAGATGAGACAGCATAAAGAATAAGGTAGTGGGAGGATGAGGTGAAGGTACAGCACTGCTTGTGACATAATTAGAAATAAACATTTTATTCATGATAGTAAAATTAAAATGCTATATGTTAGGTAATGTATGTTTTGCCACTCACCTGTTGCACTTTGACCTGGAATTACAAAAAGAGAGAAAAAAAAAGTGTAAATCATCAATGCATCTTTTTTATCATAATAGTTTATACTGTATATGAATGTAAGGGGAAAGAAGGCAAGTGACATCAACAAACAGTGAATTCTTCATGTTAGGGTTTATTAAAACATCCACTGCCATCTGGCCAATAAAACTCTTCCTGCAGGGCCAAAGCTTTATCAGGTCAAAAAGAGGAAAGCGACCAGTTTCATCTGAAATCATCTGTATGAGGTAGTGCTGTTACAAACCTGGTTGCCATGACATTGTGACGAAGAGCCACATTTGCTATTTCAGAAGGCAAACCACTATTTCCTGCCTTGCACTAAAACCTAGAACAACCCCATACTTACTAAACCGGTTTCAGTTTTGGACATATCACTGGCTCATACTGAAACACAAATGGACTTTCACCGTGTATTTTCTCTATTGTATCCTCGTTTTTAGTCATTACAAATGCAAACGAATAAAAACTAAGAGTCACCAAATATTGTTTATAATAATATTTATGCTTTATGTTGTCTGCAGTCAATAAAAGCCAACAAAAAAACAAAAATCAAACCAAAAACATCTTATCTATTCAACAAACTTGAATCTTTATAAATTCATAGTTTTTTGCTTTTCAAAGTCTGGATCTGACATTACATTAGTTTTACCAAGTCAGTGAAATGGAATAAAAAAAAAGTTTGTAAATCGAGTTTGATTGTGTGTCACTATATCTCTGATTTGAAGAATGAATGTACTGTAAGGAGGTCTTTGTCAATTAGTCCATTTGTTATCTCTAATGGTAGCATTGAGCGATGAGTGGAGGTGATGGGGGACAGTCAAACAATGAGTCTCAGGATGTGGTTTGGCGCGTTCTTGTTTCACTGTACTGAGCAGAGATGCATGCTCTCTGCAGTGACATTTCAACACCCCGTGCAGTCTCTTTATGTTTTGTGGTGACTAATTTGAATTGTTTCAATGAAAAGTTTGAAAGATGCAATTGTGCTCTGTGACTAATTCAGATAGGAGAAATCTTTATCCAAAGCCTAATGTCGTTGTATGGTAATTGCAACTGTTTCAGCCACGTTTAACCCAGTAAAGCAAAAGCCGCCATTTTAATAATGTTTAGAAAAAAAAAAAAAGAAGTTTTAAGTGGCACCTCTTTGGTCCTTTAGGTACTTTCTTTTTCAGTGTCTTCGGGAGAGAGTCAGAAACAGAGGTGTGATATTCACCGTTATATCAGCCTCTTCAAGGTCACAAACATTTTCCCAGAGTGTAAGAAATTCAAGTGCTCAAAGATAACAGCAGTTATAGTGAAGTGGCAATCGCAGCTCGAATACCCCCAGATCCCTGTCCCTGAATCCATCTACTCGTCTGACATTTCACGTCTTTCATGTTTTCTCTCGATCAGTGTTTTTTATGTCTCTTTTTTCTTCTGATATTTTGCATTCCCCTGCTTTGTGACAAGGACTGTCCCCCTCCTCCCAGAAACTGCTTTAATTGTGCAGCATGCTTAACATTTCTGACCTCACTTCTTCATTTTAGACACTGCACTTCCCCTTTTTTTTCACACATTCTCAAGTCATTTACTTGTGCTTCGTCTCAGTCTGTTTTGCCCGTGTTGATCTGCTCTGCTCTGCCAGGAAATGAAGGCAACTCAGAATGGAACGCGGAAGTGGTCAACTTTTTCGATCACAAAACTCTGTCCTGCTGCAGCTGAAGCAGGCTTTAAAAATCTTCATCTTAATGGGACACAGCAGCTCTAAACCAGCTTGTGTAAATGAAATCGGTGGTCACATGATCTTCCGCCTTCAGGGTTGATCTGACCCTGAGTGTGTTCAAACTGTTGAACAACAATAAGGTAAAAGTCGTAAAGAAGAACAAGTTGAGCAGTGTTTTGAATAAAATTTAACACTGACTAAGTATGTTGGGACTAAACTATATTTGTTGTTGGTCTTTGTTGTGAATCTGTTACATATTGCAAGGTTCAGAAGAAGGGACATTTTTATTTTAATACTGTTGTCAATAACGTGATTTTCATCTCAAAGAGACTGATTAAATAATTGCAAAAATTATTTTATCTTTTACACTATAGACATGATTAATATTCACTCTTAATAAATATCACCCCCTCTATACAGGTATCCCTCTTAATAATAGGTTACAGCCTATGTTAAAATAACTACATAAATTAAATGCTATCATATGTTATATGCTGTGGTGGACGTATTCTTTACTTAGTTAAAAGCAGCTATACCACCCTCTGAAAATACTCCATTACAAGTTAAGAGCTTGCATTAAAACTGTATTTAAGTTAAAGTACATAAGCATCACCAGTAACATTTACCTGAAGTATAAAGTACCTAGTATTCAGGCGAAAAGCTCCCTATATTGTTAGATAGATATTATACTACTAGAAAATTATTACTGATGCTCTTACATGTAAACGCTGGTTTAATTTACTGTAAAAAAAAAAAAAAAAAAGCATCATATTTTAAATGGTTACTGGAGGTTTTTAAAATCTTAATCTGAAAAGTAACTGTAGAAAATGTAAGATATATTCTTCTGAAATGTGGTGGAGTGGAAGTATAATGTACCATACAACATTTCTAAAACGTGTGCTTCTGGAACGTTCACCAGTGTTTCAATCATGGAAAAGAATGGTTAGTCAATGGAAAAGTGAAGATGCATAAATAGCGTTTGTTATTGCGGTGTACCATGATGACTCACCTCACAAACTACATGAGAAATTCTATATGTTGGAGATAAATGAACAAATACTGACCCTGACTGATTATAAAGATGACAGAGTGAAATAAATAGAGTGAAGGGTTTATTTTAACTCATGTACAGATATCTAAACTGAAAATAGCAGGAAACGCTTGATGTGTTGAACAGTAGCAGAACTCTGAGTGAAGCTAGAGGCAATAAGCTGGGTCTGACTTAGCACATGCACCCACACAAACACACACACACACATGCACACACTCAGATGTGTATCATATACAGCACCCACAGCCACTAGGGTTGAAGTGAGGAGCTTGCAGGGACACACCCTAAAAATGCTCTCATCTCTGACAGACATCCCACCCCCCCCACACACACACTTACACACTTACACATATACACAAATACACAAGCACACACACACATTCCATCACTCCATCACACACACACACACACACAAACACACACACACACACACACACACACACACACACACACACACACACACACACACACACACACACACACAATGTCGAAGCAGAACAGAAACATGATTGCAAAAATTCCCATAGCTTTTTACCAAATGAAAGTGTTGTTTAAAGGAGGCTCTTCTTATTAACAGCAGTCTTTGATTGAACATAAGTGTTTATTCTTTTGCCAAAGGGGCTCAGAAACCTGTCACTTTCGGGTTTATCACATCACAAGTCTGCGCTTGTACTGTCTTGTGTTCTTGGGTTTGGAAAGTTTAAGAAACGCAAAGTTGCACAAACAGAGACACAACTCAAAGACATGATATACTGTAGTTTTGTCATTTCTACCCTCAGTTTTTAGTTTAAATGGTTACGATTAAAGAGTGGTGATTTTTTCAGGTTTTCAAAAAAAAAAAAAAGAAAAAAAAAGCAAATTGTCAAGCTTTTCTACTGACAGATTCATGTCTCTATCGCGGGCATGGAAGTTATTTCACCTTTTCTCATTAACACGATCAAACCCTCAACAACCGTATACTACAACTTCAAAAGCAGTTAAGTTAGGAGTTTAGAGTAAGACACCTCATCAAATTCAGCTGGCTATCATTCATGTTTTGCATCATTTACACATTTTTTAAAATTTTTATTTCATGATGTCTTTTAGATAACAGATGCAAGGACACAACTTCATAAAATACCACTTCCTCCCCGCATTGCAACCCCAATAATGATGCAGATGGTTACTTACATTCGCCAAAACCAATGATCCCAGCCCAGAGCAGCAGGATCTTGAGACCACAGAGACCTGCCATGTCCAGGAGTTAGGGTGTGTACGGCCACACACCATACAGTATAGTCCTCGTAGGAACCAAAAAGGCAGATGTTCTGACGCCAAATCGAAGCTGTATTTCCAATTCCTAACTGAATTCTAAGAGAGAAAAAAGGCTAAACGTTGTCTTATTTTATGCTTCATATGTTTTCTGTCTTATCGGTTGACGCAGCTTCCTGGACTTGTTCCCCAAACCCTGGACTTGTTCGCCTCTGGTTTCAAGTCAAGCAAGTAGGAGTGATGTCACACCAAAAGAGCCTGCCTTCACCTTAACGTTTAGTGACAGGAAGCTTCATTTCAGCTACGCCACCAAGAACAGGAAGTCTCTCATCTAATCTTCACTTGCTTTTGCTCAAGTGTGAAAACCCTCGTACTTATGATAAAAAGACTGAAGTTTAGCTTCAGAGTGAAGCTTTTTAATTTAAGGGTTGTGACTGACATATTAGGCTTTTGGAAACATCTTGAATACATGACTTTTTTTTCAAATTGACAGTATAACCCTATATCAACTGACACAGAAATGAAAGAAAACAGTGATGTTGACACACATTGAGGCTTGCAGGTTAATGTCTTCTGCCTGATGAATTTCTGTTAGACTGTTCAAAATCAGACTCTTAATGAGAAATTTTACATCTGAGACATGAGACATACAGCATAGTGAAACTTCATAGAGCCCCTCTTCTTTCACACTGACTCCTCCCTGCTCTTACGCTTACAGGCCTTCAGTCGCTCAGCCATGTAGCCAAAACACATGAGAAGCTAGCACTGCAACGTGCAAGAAAAGAGATGCAGCCTTTCTTTTTTTTTAACTATGTTCTCTCTCTCTCTCTCTCTCTCTCTCGCTCTCTCTCTCTCTCTCTATATATATATATATATATATATTTTTTTTTTTTTTTTTTTTCTCTCTAGCGGGATGAAGCCCACGGTACTTACGCCCGCTCGATCTTCACGGGAGGGACTCGACACGATCGCCTTAGCAGGAACGAGGCTACGCGCCTTGATTGATATGGATCAGCATATTGACTGCGACGGCTTGCGCGCACGCTTGGCCCCGTCTCAGTCTAAAGAGACAAAACATGTGACCATTGGCTCCAGAAGTGAATTTCTTCATTTCTGCTGTTCATTCTGTGTGAAATACATTTATAAGGGATGTTAGATCTCTTCAAAGTCATTGATCGTGCGTGGTGTTTGATCATCGTGCCCTGCCTTGGAGCCCAAAATGCTTTACTTCTGTTTACATACACAAGAAAATAGGGGATAAAAGAGGAAGGAGAGGAGTAGAGAAATTCTCGAGGGAGTGCAGACTCACACACTGGGTGGTGAGCTGATGTGAATCTGGATGAAACACAGTCAACTATTTTATGTAGTCATATGAAAATAATACATGAAACTAAGCAGACCCATTTTGAGTTTAGACAGTTAGGTACTGAGCTGATAGAAGTTTTAACTTAATCCTACCACGGTTACACAGTAGACTGTTGGTGTGGCGTGATGATATGAAACTAAGAAACAAAGACAAGAACACATAGATCATGTCAAACCTTCAGTAACATTTGTGTTTACACACCGGCTGCTTTCTCTGTAACTTATACAGTTTTTCAGTGGAAATAAGTTTGAATCTGAAACCCAATAGGAACATACTGTGTTTCTCAAAAAAAGATCATCACATTTTTAATGTGATGATCTAAATATGGATTTCCTCCTAGACCAGTGAAACACATGTTGCTTGGCTATTTCCACTTCTGAGAGTATACTGTAGACTCTTGTAATCAGGAAGTGGCTCTTAAGCAAACAGCATAATGTTCATGCAATCCAAATGAAACTGTATTTACTCTTTTTTGGTTAATGTGAGTCCTTACATGTAGTCAAGTCACACAACCCCGTACATCCCTGTCTTTTAATGCTGTCAGGTTCCCATATCTAGAATGTAGCATGTGAATACAATTATAAGATGACTTCATAGGTATTCAATAGTTTTCATCATTTCTAGTCTTGTAGTTTTGTGGTTCATATCAGTTCCTAAAGCTAACTTAACTAATGTTATGTCAAAAAGAACATGAGTGTTATCACTGTAGAAAAAGCAAACGTAGACGTCAACTATACTTCCCATTAGTTGCTGTTGGCCAACCGGTGACAGGGTTCATACTGACAAACATGACAACATTTTTTTTACCCTGTGATGTTAGGCTATCTCCACAACTGCTGTGTGTGCTTCTAAAAATCATTAAGGATAATCATGGTCCCCAGAGGATGATTCCTGATGGTTTTGGTCATTCCTGATCTCTTTCACTACAATCAGACCTAAAGATTTATTTGCATGCAAGAAACAAATTTCCAATACTTTTATAGTTTTATGTGTATGATGACAAAAAAATTTTTTTTGGGGTGCTTCATGTTTTTATTAAAGAGATTAAAGTAAAGAAACAATAGTATATTAGGAGATATGCAAATGAGGTCCCCAGATGGATTAAAACCGGGGATGTTGTGACTAGCAGCCTGGCTCTAGGTGTTGGTGAGTCCACCACTGTGGCCCAAACTGAAACAGCTCAACAATTATTAGCTGGACTGTCATAAAATTTTATACAGACATTAATGGTCCCAAGTGGATGAATCCTAATGACTTTGGTGATCCTCTTTTTATCTAGCGCCATCATCAGGTCCAACAATTTTGGATCAAAAACCTGTAATGTAATATGTGCAATGTAATGCTAACACGCTAAACTAAGATGTTGATAAACATTATACCTACTGCATCAGCATGTAAGCATTGTCAACAGTTTTCCTTCAGCTATTCACATGTGCATGATGGAAATTCCCTACAACAAAGTCATGGGACTAAATAGTGTTTGACAGTGTGTGTGTGTGTGTGTGTGTGTGTGTGTGTGTGTGTGTGTGTGTGTGTGTGTGTGTGTGTGTGTGTGTATGCGGTTGGAGGTGGGTGTGGGATGAGGTTGACAGTGTTGTTGACAATGAATACATGCTGGTGTTACCAGAGAGAAAGCTTCTCTAGGGATCGAGTCACAGTCTGTGCCAGTACTGTAAAAAAACGGACAGCCTTCCATCTTTTGGCCCCAACTTCCATCAAAAAAGTTGCTGCGAAGTTGACGAAAATGCCAGAAATGAACAACTGGAAACTGAAGTCGACAGAAACGCGCCACCGACCAAACAGAGAAACTGTCTACGTCTCATGACACACGCTGACCATCAACACTATCTATGTTTCTGTTTACTTCCTGGTAGACAAACAAGACTTTAAGGCATAATTGGTATTAGCCCTTATTATCCCAAACACAAATTGGCATAGTCAATGGCAGACTTTTTTCCTTCTTAATCTGTATCACATGATAAAATGACAGTTTTGCACTTGTCCATTTGCGTTTCTCACTGCCTTATTACAAACTAACCACAAATTGAAAACAGAAGTCACATGGCCTGAAAAATGACTCACTTACTGGATAAACTCAGCTAACCACAATATCCCTCTGCAACACTTTTTTTACTCTACAAATAGATGAACATGACTGTTAGTTGAAACTCCAGTTGTATGTCATTCGGCAAAGTTACAAGAGAAGAGCCACTAGTGACAACATAACACAATATATAGTTCAGCCCCCTCAGCCTCCTTTGGAATACATGTACAGTACATTCTTGGTGCAGATGCTAGAAAAACAGCTAGTGTGACAGCTAGATTCAGCATGACAAGACATGGCATGGCGTTTTTTCCTAAATGTTTCCTCATTCCATAAGTCACTTCAGAAAGTTTCACTTCCTTCCACTTTTTGCACACTAGATTTAATTTTAAATGGATAAAACTGCGATTTTGCAAATTTATTAAAAATCAAAAACTGAAATCTCGCATTTACAAAAGTATTAGGACCCTGAATTCAGTACTTTGACACCCTTCAGCAGCAATTACAGTTTCATGTCTTCTTGGTTTAGTCTCTATAAGCTTTGCACACCTGGATTTAAGCAGCTTATCCCATTCTTCCTTTGCAGGTCCTCTCAAGCTCCATCACATTGGATGGGAAACAGCTGTGAACAGCCATCTCCCATCTCTGCAGAACAATTCCGGACCTCGGTTAGAGTCACTGTTGGGTTCTTGTTCACTTCCCTTCCAGCCAGGAACAGCCAGGAGGAGTCCCGGTACTTCCATGTCACAATTATTGAGGCCACTGTGCTCCTGCAAACACTCAGACTTAGAAATGGTTTTTTACCTTGAAACTGATCTATTCTTCGCCACAATTATATTGCAGAATGTTTACCGAGATTTCCTTTGGCTTCATGGCTTGGGTTTTGTCCTGACATGCTGCATGAATTGTGGGACCTTTTATACACAGGTGTGCACCTTTTCTAAACTATGTCCAATCAATTCAATTTGCCACAGGTAGACAGTTAAAGCAAACATGATGCACCTGACCACAGTTTGGAGGGTCGCAGCACAAGGCTTGAATACTTTTGTAAATAAGAGATTTCAGTTTTTAATTTTTAATAAATCTGCAGAATTTTTCAAAAACATGTTTTCACTTTGCTATTATGGCTTATTGAGTGTAGGTTGATGATGGCGATTTTATCCATTTAAAATAAAGTCTATAACACAATAAAAGTGAAGGGGTGTTTGGTGTTGTGCATGGGTGTCTTAGGTATTTGACCTCAACATTTGTGTTTTTGGTTTATATACTGTTTCATAGTATAAGTCACTTTTGACGATTGTATTATTAAGCAGTGACCAAAATCTTCCATTATAAGGGACATGTTGTCCTAACTTCATCCAAATGGGTTTGGTTGCCTTTTAGTTTAATTGCTAACCGTCCATTGTGACAACTCCTCGACCCCCTAGTTTCAAACTCTGTACATACCGGACATCATTCTGCTCAATGAAAGTCATCATCAACATCCACGTGAGAAACAGAAAGAACACACATGTGGGCAGAAGAGAAAGAGCACGCTTATGAATAACCGAGACTTAACTTTTATCTGATAACTATTCACAATAATTCAGTGTCATCACAAGAGTGGATGACTACACTACACAACACTGCAGACTGTCACAGGTTAAACCACACATTAACCCTCATATGAATGGGTCCGCTGGTTTAACACGCAGTGGAGCCACGCCATATGTGCATCTGTTGTCAGAAAGGGGTACTGCACATACCCAGCGCCAAACGGTACACAGAGTAAATAGGAAGACAGGAAGCTCAAACTAGAGACGATACACAGATGAGT